CCAGGGCTGTGAGTGTGTGGATGGAAATTATGGAATGGGTTGAAGAGATATGATCTTAGTGGCTGATGGGATGTGGAGGGGAGGGAAGGTGACCCCAGGGTGGAAGGTGAGGTCATTTATCACAGGAGAGCTCAGCCAGCTGGCGGGGGGGGGGCGGGGGGGGGGAGAATGCATGAGTTTGGTGTTGACATGCTATGTTTGAGACACCAAGACACTCAAGTAGAATGACTGAGATATGGTTGGATGTTTAGATGGATCTGGAAATTTGGTAGTCATTAGCAATTGAGTGGTAGTTTATTCTATATGAATGACTAATAAGGTATTTCAGGAAAAGCATATGAAGTACGATAGAAGGAAATTATGGACAGAAACCTAGGGACCACCACAGTGCTAGTGGTGGATGGAGGACAACAAGCCAATCAGAGTGAAGAGGCAGAGTGAGAGACCAGGAAGGGAAAACCACAGAAGCCAAGGGCAGGGCGGGCAGCAGGGAGGAAGTGATGAGCTGCCATATGCCTCTACATCCATCTCTAAATGCAGCTGTGTTCTTCCTCGCTTTGCAAACAAGCACACTTCCTGTCCTCTCCAACCTGGCTGTTTTTTGTTAAATGGTACAACCGAGACTGACAGCACCGTAAAGATTTATAATTGAATGCAGACCTGCCTGGACTGGCTGAAAAGGCCCACTGGAAGCCTGGTGCAGGAAGAGTCATTGCAAAGTAGTGCTGAAGCACAAAAGGGGTCTGAGGAGGGATTTGGAGTGCAGATATTCTGTTCCCACCCTCTCAGGAATCTGTGTCGGAGCTTGGGTAGTGATAACTGTAATAAAAAGAAGACAAAGTTAGGGCTTCCCTGGTGGTGCAGCGGTTGGGAGTCCGCCTGCCGATGCAGGGAACACGGGTTCGTGCCCTGGTCCAGGAGGATCCCACATGCCGCCGAGCGGCTGGGCCCGTGAGCCATGGCCGCTGAGCCTGCACGTCTGGAGCCTGTGCTCCGCAACGGGAGAGGCCACAACAGTGAGAGGCCCGTGTACCGGAAAAAAAAAAAAAAAAAAAAGACAACGTTATTACCCGTTTGCCAAATCTCAGCATAGACAGACTGGGGAGGGGCATTCTCCCCTGGGCAGCACAGGATAGAGTTGTAACTTGAGACTGGGGCAGTCTCCCTGGTGGCCACGGCTGGGGGCAGGGGGGCACCTGTGTACGCCCACTCACAGGGCCCCGCTGCAGTTCAGAGCACGGCACAGAACCCACCTGCACCCTCCACCTAAAAGTCAACATTTGGCTTCCAGACACGTTGTAGGCTGACATCTGCTGTGCTGGTGTCACTGCCCACGGTCAGCGTAAACAAGGCGCCGGACTGTCAGTTCTGGCCAGTGCTGTTCTGCTTCCAGAATCCTGTGGGAGCATGGAGTGTGCTAAATAGAAGTTTCCATCTCTCCTGTCACTTCTCCCCCTGCCAGTGCCTGTGCTGCTTCGTGCTCGTGGGAATGAAAAATCTTTTGGGTTGACATACACCCCTATTTCACTTTCATTTCTGTTTTCCTTCCTGTTCTCAAATACTGGATTTTATCCACTGTAAATTTAATTACTTTCTACTTTTGGAAACGGCCTTTGAGAGGAAGGTACATTTAAAAGTGTAAAGGTAATCGATACCTGTGAGGCAGCTCTGCCCTCCCTCTGGGCAACCCTCATGAGCATGTAGGGCAGGTAGGCGCCCTGAGCTGTCCCCTTCCAGGGAACCTTTTGTTTCTGGACTAGGGTTTCATACACTGCAGAGCAGCACCTGCACTACAACTTCCTGAAAAGTCAACTCTTCATAGAGGCTTGTAAGGGAAGAGTTTGTCCATCTGCAAGTAGAGAGTTTCACAAGGGCTTGTTCGAAGGTGCTGGTCCTGGAAGGGCCCAGGCCCAGAGCACAACAGGATGTCCAGACCTGAGGCCAGGCCCTTCTACTGGCCCAGGCTCCTGGCACTCCCCAGGCCAGAAAAGATGGCAGTGCCAGAAGCTCTGTCATGTGACTAAGGGGTGGCCCTGTGCCCGAAGGTCCACCTTGTGACAGCAGCATAGGAACACATCAGGCTGAGGAGGATCTTGCAAGAAAACTTCAAAACTGGTTCCAACTTGCTGTTTGCTGTTTCAGGAAGGGGCTCAGGGGAATGGAACCCGGCGCTGTGGACACGGTGTGGGGGGTCCCTCAACTAAAAATGGAGTTACCACGTCGTCCAGTAGTCCCACTCCTGGGCGTGTACCTGGAGAAGATGCTAATTCAAAAGGACACATGCACCCTAGTGTTCACAGCAGCACTATTCACAATAGCCAGGACATGGAGGCAACCCAAGTGTCCATCGACAGAGGAATGGATAAAGAAGATGTGGCACATGTATACACAAAGGAATACTACTCAGCCATAAAAAAGAACGAACTAATGCCATCTGCAGCAACATGGAGGGACCTAGAGGTTGTCATACTGACTGAAGTAAGTCAGAGAAAGACAAATATATGATATCACTTATGTGTGGAATATACAATATGATACAAGTGAACTTATTTACAAAACAGAAACAGACTCACAGACAGAAAACTCATGGTTATCATAGGGGAAAGGGGGAGAGGGATAAATTAGGACTTTGGGTTTAACATATACACATTACTATATATAAAATAAACAACAAGGTCCTACTGTATGCCACAGCGAACTATATTCAGTAACTTGTAAAAATCTATAATGGAAAAGAATATGTATACATATATATGACTGAATCACTTTGCTGTATACCAGAAACTAACACAACATTGTGAATCAACTATACATCAATAAAAAATTTTTTAAAAAGAGGGGAGACCCGTTAGAACAGCCTGTAAGGAAGTTACAAACGTAACAGCCCTTTGAACAGCTGATCACTTTTGTCCTCAGCAAAATTACAAATGGGGAAACTCCAACCGCCAGCCCCCCTTACCTTCTTCCAATCAGAACCTCTGCAGTCACCGCCCCTAGAACCAAGCAGCCAGGTTGAACCAAGTCACCCACTAACAGGCTGGAACGGAAACCCAGGATGGCATCGAGGAGGGGCAGGAGGAAGTGCACGGTGACGGTGGCCAGTGTCCTGAAACGTCTCCCCTTGCTTGTATCTTTAAAGGAGCAACATTCGGGCTGGCTTAGAGGAGGGAGCCGTGCTGACCGTAGCAAACACTACAACATGTGCCTTATGCCAAAAATAATTCCCGATGAATTGTTCTAAATGTAAAACAAACCATGTAAGTACTAGAAATAATAAGAACAGGTGAATATTTTTTAAGTAACCTCAGTATCAGCAAAGGCAGGAACCATAAATGGAATTAAACCAAGCATGTGCAAGGTGCCAAGTGCGGTGCTGTCCCTCAGCGAGGGCACAGCATGACACCCTCTCATGGACAAGGATGGGGGGGCCAGCTGTGTCACCTCCAGTGGGGAAGCCAGGACCCAATTTCACAACAAACAGCAAAAAGAAAAAGACAGGTGTATATCACCACATAAGATTTTTTCACTTCTGTAGACCCCCTACCTACCATCAACAAAACGAAAAGACAGCTGACAAGTAGGTTTAAAAAGACCACAAAATGTGACAGAGTGAACAGACTGTGTATTAAAAACAGTCATATGAAAAAGATGTACACTCGAAGTCACAAAAGTAGAAGCACAAATATAAGTATAAAAGATGTTCAGTTTCAGAGTAATCAAAGGAATGGAAGTGAAACAAGGTGCCGTCCCCAGCTCCGATGAGAAAGGGAAAGGCAGGTGGTGCTCCAGGTGGTAGCTTATGGGAGTACTCTGGTAGTATTAAAAGTTCAAAAATTTCAGAACATTGAAATTATCCTTTAGTTGTACATTTCTACTGCTAGGAATTTATCCAAGGGAGATCCCTAGGCACGTGTGCCGAGCACAAGATGCAACATAATGAAGAATCAGACCATTCACGGAGTGACATTTCAGCAAGTCACACAACGGGTGGCCAGGCAACCCACAGAGTTGACACCACCCACACTTACGGACGTGGGAGGGTATAAGCAGCAGCTAACACTCAGGAACGCTTGATGCCAATCATCTCACACTGCCCACTGTGTCCACACTTAGCACGCAGATCTCATGAGTGGTTCCTTCTCTCTCCTGCTGGAAGCATAAGGGGATTTTTCTCTGATACTCACTGTGGGTCATGGTCGATGATCTGGAGAGCACAATGACCCTGGATTAAAATTTCCTCGGTTCCTGGGACAAGATGCCAGAGTAGAAGGACCTTGAGCTCACCTCCTCTCGTGAGCACACCAAAATCACAACTAACTGCTGAACAGCCATCGATAAGAAAAGGTAAGAACCTACCAAAAAAGATATTCTGTAACCAAAGACGTAAAGAAGGAACCACAACGAGACAGTAAGAAGGGCACACTCGCAGTACAGTCAAATCCCATACCCCTGGGAGGGGGTGGGTGACCCCCAAACTGGAGAGTAATTATATGGCAGAGGTTCCCCCACAGGAGTGAGAGTTCTGAGCCCCATGTCAGGCTCCCCAGCCTGGGGGTCTGTATTTGAGAAGAGGAGCTCCCAGAGCATTTGGCTTTGAAGGCTTAACTGCAGCATCTCCACAGGGCTGGGGGAGACAGGAGGAACTTCACTCTTACAGCGTGTACGCAAAATCTGATGTGCACTGGGCCCAAGGGCAAAAGCAGCAACTTCATACTCAGCACATGGAGGGAGGCTCAGAGAGGGCAAGCAAGCTGCTCAAAGTCACCAGCCAGTGAAAGGCAGAACAGGATAGGGATCCGAATCTGTCTGAAGCTGAATCCCACACCTCACTGCCCTCTACTTCCAACTAAGTGAAAACAGGATTATAAAACAGAAATGTCTCATGTTTACAAACACTGAGCACTCAATGCAATGCCCAGCAGTCCAGCCAGATGGTCCAGCCAGATGCCGGCCACAGAACCAGTCCTCCTAATGTATCCGAATGAATCAGGCAGACCAGGTTTAATGATCTCGTTAGTTGTTTATTGTCATTCTAAAGACTAGCACATTTACAGCATACATGGCTTTGAATGAGCTAAGAATATATAAAACGGTAACTATATGTTTATATATATTAATACTGTCCAAAACAAATAAATAAAAGTACCTTAATGCACTAAGCCTGGCAAATACAATTGTGTAGGGACAAAACTTATTATACAGTATTTGTACGTTTTTAAAGGAAACCAAAGGCAACTGTGCTGCAGATGCTTTCACAGAATCCACGTCACATCTGAGCTTTCAGTGTCTCAACGTTTCTTTTTAAATGGGTGCCTTATATAAGGAGCACTTGATGGAACCTCTATTTTACGGGAACCTGTACAACTGCCTTCCTTCTCCAACTGAAAACTCAAAGCTCCCGTGTGACCTGGGTACCTGCAGCCACCACGATGGGCAATGTGGCCCCCACTCAACGAGCTTTGTAATCGTGCAGCGCCGCCGTGAGACTGACTACCGCACAGGAGCGGGGGAGTAACGCTCAGGTGGAATACTGAAACCTGAATATTTTCTACGTGATTAGCCAAGTCTTCGACTTTTATGGTGATCCAACATGAAGCCAAAATTAGGAAAATACTCACATAAAGGTGCCACATGCAAAACCGCTAACAGATGACAACATTTGCTATATTCCCTTTTGGTAAATGCAGGTAATGCTCTTCAGACCAAAAAAAAAAAAAAAAATCTGAAAGTTGTATGAGTAACATTAAAAATACAAGGGAGTTTTAAAAAATAATGTTAAAATGAGTAAAGATGGAAATATATAGATACTAGAAAATGACAAATTAAATGAAGTGGTGGAGGTGAAAGACTAAATCAGCCATACTGGAAGCTGTCTCTGCACATGGATCGACACAGCAGGAGAATCTGACACCACCTGCTGCCACCTGTGCAGTGGGCTTGCGGGACACGTTTCTCCACCTCCGCCCTCCACAGTGAACCCAGCTGTGCAGGGGTTGGTGAGCACCAAGGGTCCCTCACTGACTCACCCTCCACACCAGTTCACACTCACCAGTGGGCGTCAGGAGACAGCAGGCTCCAGGTGTGCACTGACTTCTGAGGAGGAAAGGATCTGAAAGGTCACCTGGTTCCACCCTTACCTGATGCCCACCCTCTGTCCCTGCCAAGGGGTGGTCTGGCCTGTGCTTCAGCTCCCCAGGCCCAAGCCTGTTACGTGTTTCCAAGTGGCATTTCTAGAGGAGCCCAAAGAATAGCATTTAGAATTTTAGATAAAGGAACTTCCTAAGGGTTCACAAGTCATTAGGATCAGTATCATGAATATGTGCCACATACATTTCTTTTACAGCCTTTTAAATAACATGTAAACATAATGATAAAAACAACTGATAAAAACATATAAACTAAGAAAAAACTCTGCTATGTGCAGATGACTCATCATCATCTTATAATAGATGACCAGACATAATTTTCTATGAAATTCCTAAGTTTTATGGTCCATTAATCCCTTTCAAAATCTCATTTTAGGAGATATCTCAACTTTCTCAACAGCCATCTTACATAACAGAATGAGTAGTAACAATTATTGCAGACCTAAAAGACACTTTCATCAGACATTCAAACATGATTGTATTGTCTTCTAGAAGACAAAAAATTGGGAAACCCACCAGAGGACACCAATTTTGAAAATATTTAGGCTTCCACTGTCTCTATGCAAAATCCCCCATTGTTGACTGAGAGGCATCAGACAATACCGCATGCGAGGTCCTGACCTGGGGAAGAAGGGGAGACGTGCCCTGGGGCCGTGGACTACACACGGGGCATAAGGCAACAGGAGCCGGCTGGCCTCATGCCCTCGAGCAGACACCCTGTCCTTTAAGGGACAGGGGTGGCCCCTACTGTGCAGGCGGCTTTGCAGGTATTGTCTTCTAATAAGTCTTATCTCAGGCTGATTTATCAGCCTTTACTTCAACTCCTGGTTCCACCCGTGCTGTTACAGGCAGGCTGATGCACCAGAAGCACTCGCCCTGGCCGCATGAGACAGAGCGAGCGTCTTTCCCCAAAACTTCCCTTAACATTTAACATTTAGTGGTCTGCCCGGGATCCAATCATTTAAACTATTATTTACTGTTTTACATGGAGATTTTTAAAAAGTAGATTGTAAATCAATGCTCAATTTTGAGTTACTCAGTAGAAAAATAAGTTAGGTGAGCAGCTGCCTAAGTGGGCGTTTTAGAAAGTCTTAGCATTTCAGACGCACCTGGCTTGATTCATACAGGTAACTGTTGATATCTGTGTGGTTATGGCTGAAGGCTGTTTAAATGGGCAGTTGTTAACTCTCCACACTAGTGAGCCCAACATTACCTGCTATGGATTCCAACGCAAAAAACATGCTCTATAGACTCTTTAGTGAAATAGTTTTAAAAACATAAAAGTAAAAACCAATCCTTCAGGTCTTCTTGAAGAATTCATATATGACACTAGAGGGTACCCACATTTATTACATAACAGCTAATTAGAGGAAACCGTGTGTTCATGTTTCAACTTTTCCGTAAGTCCCTTCAGGAGGCCTGTAATGCTTGGGGAAAGCCTTCAGCTGCAGGGAATTAAACGCATATTTGCGACTTCCAACATTCTTCATTGTATTTTCTCTTCGACAACCCTCACTGGGGAAAAAACAAGCACAAGAAATGACAGCAGTAAAAAAGGAAAAAAGAAAAGACTTAAACTCAGATGAAATGAACTGATTATTTTCATAGCATTAAAAGAAAGGTTGATTAATTTAAATGGATGCCAGACTCATTTACGACAATACACACGTAAGATGGCAGGTTTCTGAACAAGGCAATTAAGAAGCACAGAGATGGACACAGGCTGTATGGGACTGCGAGGTTTGCATTTCCAAAAGCAGCACTGTATCGAAGTGGAGGACAACCTTTTTTTTTTTTTTTAAGGTAATGGTTTCATGTATTTCGTGTCTGGTTATCTGAGGGGGTCTATCCTAACTAGTGGTTCAGAGGTTCTGTCACATAGCAATTTAAATGGAAAAAGTGCTACTCTTACCAAAAGCCTTTAAAAAGCTGCATTTTTCTATATTAGCAACAGCTGTTAACCGTCTCCAATTCAAAATGCTGATTTTCCTTGCAGAATTCAACATGTAGCAAAACCATCTGGCTAAGAAGGTGGCTGTCACATGCTGTCTCAACCTGGGAGACAGCTGTCCCGGGCACACAGCAGCGCCGCGGGCTGTGCGATGGCTACATGGCTCTCAGCGCTGGGGCGTCGTGAAGAAGTGACCCCACCGAGGTCACCTTCTCCAGGTGAGCTGCCCTCGTGGTCACCTCTCTCAGGAGTGCCACTGAGCCAGTGAGAGCCCACAGGGGCCCCTCCCTAGAGAACCTGCCACCAGCCTCTTCCGCTGCTGCGTTGATCAAGGGTTGTCACTGGCAACCCAGTGGGCAAAGCAAATGCTCAACAGGAGGATGGGCTGTCAGGCAGGCCTCACATTCCCGAATGGGAGCCTCAGGGGAGCTCTCTGGGAAACGTTCCGATAGACATGAGATTCACAGGCAAAAGCGATTCTAAATAGGAATGACTTCCTATATAGCACAGTGTAAGTTCATAGTTTTATATTATTCTAAGACTAGCAGTTAAATCAACTAATTATTAAATTTAGTACAAAATCCCCTTTATGAGATGTAAAATTTGCAGTTACCAAGAAACAGCGATTTAAAAAAAATATTTCAAGTTGTCTGAAGTCCATTATGTCATGCATTTTAAAAAAATATCAGTGGCAATTCCTCAAGCCTTTTAAAGTGAAAATGACAATCTCATTATTAAGAACATGAAAAATATTTTTGGTAAGACAGTGATTTTATTCAGAAGATAAACTCGGGTATTTTAGAAAAGTATCCACCTGCTTGTTATATTAAGTAATTTAGTAACTCAGATATGCTTTCTTGTCACGAGAGCCTCAAAGCCCTCAGCTACATGTGTGTCATCCTCACTGAGCGCCTAGGCCATACGAGCAGGGAGCCCTAGAGCAAGTAAAGACCGTGTGGGTCTAACATCCAATAATCAGATAAAAATACTCCGTTTAAAGCAGAAGCTATATAGGTGCTTCTTTAATCTTTGGAAGCTCTTACATTATTGGACTATTTCAGATATGGCTTCTCCATTTACAAAGAAAGGTACACACTTTTCAAAAACTACCTATCAGTAGTAAATGTCAAACTGCTTTGAGGAACGAAGAAGAATAATTTGTGAACTCTGATGTTACCTTTTTATTTACATGTTAAAGAGGCTGATTACTGGTTTAGCTGGCTGAATATACACTACACATGAAATTACAGTCAAGATTACACTTTATTTTTAAATTGTGCTTATTTTCCCTCAAATGTTTGAATTTGGATTGAGTTTACAAAATCTGACTAATGAGGCTGATCACACGCTGACTCGATCACCCAGTGTTTAGACAAGCTCCAGCCTGGGGCTGGGGCCTGAGTCGTGGAGAGAGGCAAGCCCGTGCTGTGGTAACTGGTGTTTCCTGCCGCAGGGGCCAGCCTGCGTCCTAAGGCAGAATACTTTGATCCCTCACAACGGCTGCATTATTTTTAGGAGTCTATAGTACACACCGAGGTGGCCTTGGATAGATTTTTAGAAAGAGGGATTTAATTATTTCAAAGCTACATGATTTTTTTATTATATCGATAAATTATTTCAAGGACATCTATTTTTTAAAACAAAAAATTAAAATTGAAACCCCAAGTGGCAACTAATTTTAGTGACAGCTCTGTTTTTCCTTTCCGGAGGGGATCTTCCCCTTCAGAACTCATCTGGACACGAGTGTCTTGGTGATCCTGAACATCTAGTCACCTGCGCTGACACTGCCTCAGCGCTAGCATTAGCTCAAAAGCAACCTGAAAACCTTCACCAAGTATCAGTGACTCCCCTTTCTTGAATCATCTTCCCATCTTTGTTTTATCCTGCCTGTTACTTACTAAAGCAGGAAAGATTTCAAACATATATTTAGCCTGACTTCGTAAGGCCTTGGCGACATGAAAACTCAGCTCAAAGGCACGCTGAGCTTCCTTGCTCAGATATTCTAAAGCACCACCACCACCCCCAGCCTCGTCTGATCTCGTGGTGCGCTGTCTCCATCTCACCTCGTGACTGCAGTTAGAACGTACTACCTCCTGACCCACCCCTGAAGAGAAAACCCAAGAATCTTAGCCCCTCTCCTTGCATCCATTTCTCTCTTATCTTAGCAGCCAAGCCTACAGGAAGGCCTGGTGGGCACCATGACAGCCGGGGGCAGACAGCTGGGGACAGGCCATGATGTCCGTGAGGCCCCGCGGGGGGTGCCGGGGGGGGCGCTTGTCTAGCTGGCCGCGGCCCCCATTTGCTGGGCGGGCGGTGGCACCCGGGAAGAGGAGGGGACACTCTGTGGGGTCAGAAGGGCCTCCCTCATCTGCGCATGGTCTCTGCCAGCCCGGAGGCGGGCACAGCACGTGTCACCCGGGGGGCGGCAGGAGTGCTTTACCCAGAACAGGCTAGGAGCTATGGAACGTGAACCGTAGGCCCTGCCTGCCCTCTTTCCAATAAAGGAACGAGATGGTCTCAGAAAGTCGACTTGTACACCTTGATGTGGAGGAGGACAAGTGGTGGACACACCTCTCCACAAGAGTCACAGGCTGGCAGGACCTCACCTGTGACTAGTGTCATGTTGCTACAACTTAACACCACCAGTCACTTGGCATCTGAAGAGAGACTCCCTCCTGACAGATGTCAGGAGCTGCGCCACAGAGCAGCCACCTCATTCTAGAAAAGACAGAGCGACCACACTGCACTTGTGAGGAGAGTGGACTCAGCTGCCCCAGGCTCCCCCAGTGCTCGGGTCTAGGACACAGCGGGGAGGAGGATGCCCCTTCATCTTAGAATTTAAAGTCTGCACCTGCCCTCTGTCACCCACTGCTTCTGCAGTCGTAACTGCCTCTACAGTTCCCGGAACCCAGACTCAGATCTGAGGCCAAACCAGAGAAACCCCAGAGTCAGTTCTGGAAGTCTGGGGGAGGGAATGGAGAGGCCAGATTTTGTGGTGGACTGGGTTTGCGTGCATGGCTGGGGGTAAAGTTTCTGGAAAAGCCAGCTTCTCTAAATTCACTCCAGTGTTTCTAGAGTGGTGAAAAGAAATCCACTTCCATAAAATGCAATATATGGGAAAGCCAGCTGGAGGCCAGAACAGAAGCACAACATAATTGGAGCTGGAAAACAGAGAAGCCACCGCCCGTTTCTTATGCAGGGTCTGTGGGGTTCCCTGTCATCTACTCTGCTGCCTTCAGAGGTGTCCAGCCACCGTTTTCCACACAGGAATGTGAAGGTTACAAATCCTCCCATTTTACAGACGTTGCCGTGTTAAAATTAAGAGCGATAAGAACAGAAACCAAAGTGACCTTTTCTCTCTCACACCTCCATCTGGCACAACTGCCCAAAAGTGGACCTTATTTTTTGGTAAATTTTGATTTTTTTTCATAATTAACCATATTTGATTTGTAAGAGAGAAAAGGTATCTGGACTTGAATCTGGAATTAAAGCAGCAGGGTTTTTTTTTTTTGGATGAAAAATGCTATTTCAAGAAAAATAAATGTATCTAACTTCAACAGCCTTTTGCTACTCTGTGCATTTGTTCCTGGATCAGTTTAATGACAGAGATTTAGAAGAGTAATTCTAAAGTCACATGCAATATGTTATTTTTATGTGCCTGACTTGATACAACGAGCTACCGTCCTCACAGCTTTGTGTCATCCCAACTTGGAAATAGTAACGTAAGCAAGGAAATGTTATAATTCTGCAAACTGTTTGCTACTATAATTTCAGGGACTACGCTTTGAAATGAAAGCAGAAAGTACATGTCCTATTAAATAGGTTTATCTAGATGAGCCAGTTAGAAAGCATCTACACTTTTCATTTCTCTTCAAAAGGAAAGGAAAGGTTAGCAGTACATTTAAAGAATAGTATCAAATATACAAATTCTTTCCTGACAGAATTCCTCTCTCTAGGAAACAGGGCACAAGAGATAATACAGGTAATAAATAGTTTTACATCAGAAGGTAAGAGATTTGGTACAAGTAATTCCAGGCCAGCTAAACAAAGCAGTAACAGAGCTCTGTAAGAACATGTTACAAGCACTGAAAACGCTACAGAATTTAAACGAACACATCCTCTTGGTGAAATAATTTGGCAGGTGTTTACAATTCAGAACAACAAAATGTCAAACTGTAAGGCATGAAATACATCTCGGCGGACCATGCTCTGACACGCTCCTTCTGTCCAGTCGGGTACACGGTGGCTGGACATGTCTGGCACTTTTTTTTGGTGATTTGTTAATTTCTCATAACGATATTCATTTGCAACGCAATTTGGCCACCAGGTATGCTACGCTCAGGAAGAGCCACGCAATCAGTAAATTGGGGCTCAGAGCTAGTAAAGGGACGGAACAGAGGAGGCTGGGGTCTAGTCTTAAGTCTCGGATGGGCACCAGGCCGCTCAAGTTCTTCTGGGTGACTACCTCCCGTGTTCCAATGCTGTGAAAAGGAAGAAGGTTGGGAGAAAGGAAAAGAAAAAGGGAAAGAAAATAAAGGAAAAGGAGAGATACATGCAATGGATTTTCTCAAAAGTGTGGGGAAAAAAGAGGAGAACCAAAAGATAAGATTTAAAAAAACATGGAATGAAGCCACAACACAAAGAAAAAGATGATATGCAGAAAAGGGTGTAAAAGGGATACCAAAACAAAACGAGCACAGTTACAAGAAAAACAGGAGAGAAAGAGAAGGGAAAATAAGAAGAAAATACTGTAATCTACTGAAAACAAACACGTGTAGGCCGACTAAATGGTTTTCCATGTTCACACCCTCGGCTGCCAAGCACACGCCATGCTGCCCTGCCATGCTCGCACATGCGGCCAGACGTGGACTCCAAAGAGCAAGCTGAACATGAAGAACCATCGGGGCGTTTGACCTTCTCACAGGTGCCTGAGCGGCAGGTGGCGCAACTTACTTCGCCAAAGCTGCCTCCTGATTAAACACTTGCACGATAACCGTTTCCCTTCAGTATCAACTGCAGGCCGAGCCCTCACCAGACTCGCCTTGGCTTTTAGGCTGCACGGCGGCAGGGTGTGAGCTACTGTTCCGAGTCATCGTTCTGTGAGATGGGGTCTACCAAGAACGGAGTCCAACCCAGCTCACTGGAAACTGGGGGTCTGTCCCCCTTCGGTGCTACCGAAGAAATGTGCTGAGGTGAGGCTCCCGGAGGACCCTGGATGTGCCATTCTCACGGGGGGACGCTTCTCATGCCACGAGCACTGATCACGGGGTCACGACCCCGGCCAGGGCAGTCTCGGGGGCCACTGGGGCTACTCAGGAAGGCCCACTGTTGTGTTTCGGTCCCTGCACTGGGGACGGAGGGGCACCACCAGCAGGGAGCTGGAATGGGCTCCGACGGCAAAAGCCAAGCGTGCGCATCTCTTCCCAGCTCCCTGGTCTGTGGTGTCGCTCGGCAGCCTGAAACAGGCGCTGGCGGGAGTGTTTATGCCACAGAAATTGGCAAACCAGACAGATCAGGTTTTGTTTTTGTTTTTGGAGAGAGCTGGCTGTCAAGCACTTGCTAGCACCGCACTGGCCAGTGCTCACCCGGGGCCTCCAGGACACAAGACAGCCGAGTGTCAGCCCCGCCCCTCCCCCAGCCCACCTGCCCCAGCCGCCCCACCCCGCTGCCTGCGTGCTCTGCTCCTCCGTGGAGCAAGACGCAAGCCAGAAAGCAAGAGAACCACCGCAGGGCATGGCCAAACCGCCTGCTGCCTCCTTAGGGCTCCGGGCTGCCCCGCGGCTCCTGGCCACGCCGCAGCCAGAAACACCAGCTACCGACCAGCCACCTGGGGCCTGCAGCCTATGAGCAGACATGTCTTCCCCACACGGGATAATCCAAAAAGCAGAGAAGTCGGGGGTGGGTAACAGTGTCACACGGAAACAAATGCATGAGGTCAGGTGGACAAGGGTGGCGAGCACGGCACCCGAGGCTGGTGCTCTGAGGATCCCGAGGGCGGCAGAGGCGAGGTGGCATCGAGCTTTGCTTTGGTTTTGAATAACTTCTTCAACGATTATTAAGGTAACGTATGTTCACGGCAGAGGTTTTAGAAAATTCAGAAAAACCTAAATAAACTTAAAAAAGACATCCATGATTGGACGCAGATGGGGGTTTCAGAGAAGCAGAGGGAGGCCAAGGGAATGATGCCCGTCCCATGGGAGGAGGGTCCTTCCCTACTCAGGATCCCGGGGTCCCTGCCGTAATGTAGGAAAGCAAGGCCGACTTCCCAGGCTCAGAAGCGCTCAGAGCAGTGGCAGGATGATTACCCAGAGGGTGGGTGGGCAGGCCCCCGGGACACTGGGTGCGACTGGTATGGGAACAACCTGTCAATTTGTATTAAAGGCCTTACAAGGGTGTACACTCTTTAACCTAAGAAATCAACAGGGCAGACGTGGGTAGGAGAAAACACAAGGGTATTCACTGCACCCTTATTTAAAGTGCTGGCACACTGTACACAGCTTAAAGATTCAAGGACAGCAAATTGGATAAATTATGGTGTGCTAAACATGATAAGGCCCACATTCATTAACCTGAAAAAAAGCTCACAAGACAGTTAAGTGAGAACAGTAGACTAAAACAGTGGGCAGAATTACACATCTAACTGCATCTGTTTGTGCATATGTTTCGTGTACTATTCAGGGACTGGGTAAGTTGACCAATGTGCGGGTTAAGCACACTCACACTCATACGTATGTATCTGAACATGCATCAGGATGTTAGCAGTGTTCCTTGTAGTAGCAGGAATACGGAGAATTGTCCTGTGGGCTATGGGCTGGTGTGGGAGTCACTGGGGTAGGGGCTTATGTGGATTTTCTGATTTTCCTACAAGGAAACCCACGTGATCAAAGTTGTGAGCGTGCCAGTTCACCTGTGCACGTGTGGGTAACTGCCCACAGCCCCTTGGCGGGCTGCAGGCCAGCAGATGGGGCCGCCCGTGTGTCTAAGGAGCCACCTGCTCCCTGGTCTCCCCAGACCTTTGTGCTCAGACGCAGTCAGAACAAACACATCGAATGTGTTCACGAAGCCAAGACTGGATAGAGGGGTACCAACTGTACACCTGACGCGCGCCTACGGCACGGACCTCATCCTAGTATCTGCCCCACAGCTAGAGTTGTGTCCCTCCATTTTTCTCGTCTCTCTGCGGCCGGCGGCCTGCGTCTCACCAGCGCGGTCCTCCCCTCCACCTCGCAGCTGACCGCACCAGGGACGCTGAGACCCCACCGCCTCCCTGAGGCCGAGGCAGGGAGAGTGTGAACTTTCTAAAAGTGCATCAACAGGCAGCCCTGAGGTCACGAGGTTTCGGTGAACTTGGAAAGACCAAACAGGAACAAACAGTTCCAGTTCTACAAAACGCTACAGTCAAGAGGCAGGCGCTCAGGCATCGCTTTCGTGTAAGACGGTGAGAAGGTGAAACGGCGGAGACATACAGAAAGGATAAGAGAATTGAATGCTTTGAAGAATTTGGTGAGAGGACAAATGGTACAGAACATTCAGTAGAGGTGACTTGGAAACGAGACTAGAACAGCATTGGCGGCCATATGGAAGAAGACAGGAGGAGCAGGTTTCTTATCCTTTCTTTTGGTATGTGAGGGGAGGTGCTCCCCGGCAGTGCCGGAAACAAGGCATCGCTCGGCAGCGCACAGAGTTTTAGTCCCAGGTTTCATCCTGCAGACACGCCTGCTGCCTCGGAATCAGAACATCATTAGGGCAAGGTGGCCACGGCACGGGGACAGGGGAGGGGCTGCTGCCAGGAAACACTCACTGGACACTGGGCTCATGAAAGCAAACCCAGCCCACCACTGGGAGAAGCGGAGCCAACCGGCGCAGCCTGCGGACGCTCGGTCTCCCCTCGGTTTGAAAAGAGACGACGCGGGATGGGAACAGCCGGGGCCTGCTGGGATGCCCGGGCTCTGAGTCGCACCCACAGCAAGATGAGTGGCCGGGGCACACCGGGCACCAAAGGGCAGCCACACGGCCGCCTCCGAGCTCACCACCTCCCTCCCCGCTGCCTCGGCTCGCCCGCTTCAGTGCGGTCCCACTCAGACACAGCGCCGGCTCTTTTCCCCCCCTGACTCAAGAGGACACTGGATGTGATGGGCCTGGAGTTTGACTCGGCAGACATGGAGGAATTTTCCAAAGCCAAACTAGAGCGCGGCCGCCGGGCCCGGGGGACTCACCTGCGCATGCACTCCAGGGCCTGCGTGAAGACCTGCGGGGCCATGCCGTGCTCGTGCTGCAGGATCAGGCACTGCTCCAGTGTCACCGACATGGCCGTGCGGTCCTTGGCGCTCTTGCAGCTGGTGAACCGCACCCCATTGAGGCGGCGGCAGACCTGCCAACGGGAAGGCAGGCTTTACTTAGGGGGAGACGGGACAGGTCGCTGCCCCGGGCCACCTCCCGGGGCCTCTCCCACAGGACGCTGCTGCCTCCCGGGGGCCCCGCCGTCTGCTCAGCCACATTCCCAGCTCTGCCCGGACCAGCCCTTTGCTGCCCACCCCCTGGGGTAGGTCAGAGAGCTCCCAGGATGCCCAGCCCCCGCCAAGTCTCTAGGCCTTTCTGGAAGTGACAGCACAGACCCACTGGTCTCTACACGCTTCCTCGTCTGCACAGGTGGGAACAGCTCAGCAGACCCACTTCCCTGTGGCCACCTCCTGCCCACCAGGCTCCCCTCCAGCTCGACCCGGGGCCCTGGTACAGGGCCCAGCGCACCTCCCCTCCCAAGTGAGGAGCTCCCGTGGAGGGCAACCCCCCTGCTGAGAAAAGACCGCCTCAGGGCACCTCATCTCCCCATGGAAGGACACCTGGGAGCATTTGCTCTGCATTACTGGGAGCAATCCTAGGCACACAGTCCCCGAATCGAGGAAGCTCTAGAACAAAAGACTTTTTTTTTTGGTATAAAGTTTGTGGCAGCCTTGTTTGGCAACATGACCAGCTCTTGAGTGGATGTCAAACTATCTACAATTTTTATCTATCCCATTTTGTATACATATTCATACTCTTCAGTAAGACAGTATTCAGGAGTTTGATTCCAGGGTGCTGCCCCAGATCCCCTGGGGATGTGAAATCATCCACGTGCACGTTACACACAGGTGATGTGCACCCTATCACACGCCTAGGTACCAACTGTATACCGTATCACCTTTCTGAAATGTGGAGCCCTGTGAATTCTAGAACACCTGCCCACGAGAGCTTCAGATAAGGGCCTGTGGACCCGTAGGAGATGCTGCATTGTGAGAACAATGTGGGTATCTCACGAAAAACCATGTGACCTAACGCCAGTGGGCTCCGTGACCTGCTGTTCTCAGAAAAACACCAGAGGCGCTGCAGGCTGCCCTACAGACGGCCCCGTGCCTGCTTCTCGGGCCAAGAGGCCCCAGCCGAGACCACGCAGCCACGGCCAGGGATGCCGCTCTACAGAGGACAGTGTGGTCCCAAGCACGGTGTCTGAAGGAGGACAAGACAGAAAGGACCCAAGCAAGTTCAGCCACGACCGTCAGGAGGAAGACGGGCATCTCGTGAGAACAGACAACAATTTCTTTTAAAGATTCTAAGCAGCCCCTGAGCTAGGTGAAGAGTGAATTAATAAAATCATAACTGATGAAGTGAACGGGGACGTGCTCACTAAATTCCACAGGCTGGAGAGTTCATGACCCAGACGCGTGGCATAAACCAAACTAAAAATAGGGTCAAAGAAAGTTACACTCATAGATGGCGGATCCAGAGCTCCATGAGGTTCTGGAAGGTGCAGCAGGGTGGCCACAAGTGCATCCCTGCACAAGAGGGAAGCCTGCAGCACCAGGCTCCAGGCTTTGTGGGGGGACCAGCAGCCACTTCAGGGTGCTGGCGGGTCTCCCCATGTGTGAATTAGGCCCGACTAATAATATGCCAACTCTGTGTGTGAGTCCCAGTGTGGACAGGTCCCCTCATCAGGGGTGAGTGAATGACGAGCTGTGAAACTGCTCTGATACCCGGGCTCAGAGCAGGAACTCCACAAATTGGTGAGAAAGTATCTGAGGTCTTCAGGGGAAATGAGGAGATCTGAGCAGCAGTGTACTAGAAATATTGTTTAAAGAGACGGCAAAGGTCCCAGAGATCTCCCTTTGAACCTATTAAAAGATGCAGCAGCTCGTGAGCTCTAGCTGGTTATCACTGTGCGGGCTTCGGAAGGGGACAGCTGTCATCAGCCTGGTTATTCCACGTCCGAGGGGGTAGACTCTGTGTCAGGCTTATCAGAATTCAGGCAGCCCTACGGTAAGCAACTCACGAGCAACTCTCATTGTGTCCTTATGAAGAAACCTGTTCTCTTCACTCCTGGCTGAGGTTTTAATTTGTTGTTGTTATTAACATTTTTTCCCTCACCTCAGCAGCTTGCCAGAGAATGTCAACGTTCTTGTTCTTCCTGGCGTGCACGTTCTGACCCAGGAACCGCAGCAGCTCCGGCAGGCATGTCTGGCTCCGAGATCGAGGTAGGCCTGGAAGAGAGACGGGGTCGTGGAGCTGGGGCCGCCCACGGGGACTTAGCCCACGGCAGCCAGCGCCGCCGGAAACGGCCAAAGGATGAGTCCCGGCCGGAGCCGGAGGTTCAGTGTGATTGAAGCAAGAAGGGAGGCCTGTGTTCAGGGACTGGGCCTGGTGGCCAGCACGGGGAGCACTCCGTTACTTTCACTGCCACTTCAGTGCCACCTGCAAAGGGCAACCACCTGGCCTCCTTTCAGTTCTTTCGAGGGGCTGGAGGGGGAGCTCGGATCATCGAGAACGGGAGGGAGTGAGGGAGATCCGTCAGGTCTTCAGAACTGCCGCCAGGGCTGGAGGATGCTTAGGGCCGGGGGTGGCGACACTGAGGGGGCCACCACCCTTGGGGGAGGTGGGGAGGGCAGCCGCCTCCACCGCGACAGTGTCCAGGCCGCTCCAGGACCCCTCCAGCTGGAAGATCAGTCAGACCACCTCACCTCAGAAGCCTGGGATTTTCAAACACCAGGACCACCAGAGGAGAACAGAAGAGCCTGGAGTCACATCTACGGAAAACAGCCAGGGGGCCTGAATCCGCAAATCACCACCAACTGTGGGATGAAACCATGCACCCGTTTCCACCGCACAACCTCCCCGGTGCACGCAGGATCCCGTGCCAACCACTTCACGCTGCTGCTCGGAGCCCAGCACCACGCTGCTCCGGGGGCCGGGCCAGAGGGCTCAGCGCGTGACGGGGGCTGTGGGAACCCAGAGGCTGTGAACCAGAGCCTCCTGGAGGAGACGCAGGACCTGACCTCTGGCCCAGTTAGCGACACTGGCGCCCCAGCAGAGTTGGGGGCGCTCGCTGGTGGGCCCATCTCCTCAGCCTCGCGGACAAGCGTAACTACCAGGCTGAGGGCCACGCGGGCTGCGGCACCCCCGGCGTCCCGGGCCGTGGGCAGCGCTACCGGCTTTTGATCCCGCCGGCCTCGCCCTTCCCGGGCCTTTACCCCTGGGACCACGTCTCACTGGAAACTGCCGCCCTCCAAAACGTTGAGCACAAGTCTCCCCCTTCCTGACCACAAGGCTCCTGGTCCCCCAGCGTGGCCCTTCCGTCTCAGGGCGCCCTAGCCGGGGGGCTGGCCCAGCACACGCTCCCGTCCCCTCAGTCCGCTGGGCAGCCGGCACTGTCCCCGCCTCCAGAGCAGTCGGAAGGTGGGTGTTGGCCACAGGCCACCTGGCCTGACCCAGGTTCCTTGGGGGACCTGCCCTCCATGCCTCAGTGTCACTATATGTCAAATGGAACCAAGCCCGCCTCCCAAGGCTGCCGTGGGATCAGTTAGATAATTCATGGGAAGTGTGTAGAAGGCCTGGCACGTGCAAGGACTTGACAAATCTGTCACTGGTCACTGTGATCACTGTGGAAGAACACGAGGATGACCTGGTATCTGGGCTCCTTCAGCTGAGTCCTCAGAGAAGCATTTTACTGACTCAAACGTCGTCACTTTCGAGCTTGGTGCAGCACACGGGGATCACCTGGGGAGTTTCTAAACTCCCGAGGCCGAGGCCCCGCCCTCTACACTCTGAGCTGGGCCCCTGGCAAGAGGATTTTCCCAGATTCTCCAGTGAATTCCGATGTGTGGTCAGTGCCAGAGCCTCGACGGCTCCAACAGCACCCGTCCCGAGCCTCCTTCACGGCCGCCAAGCCCAGTGCTGGGCTTACGCCCTCAGTTCATGGGGAGACTGAGGCCTCCCGCCTGAGCTCCCGTGCCCACACCATGTCCCCCCACTCGCTCGCGGGCCCCGACCTGGCCCTGCAGGATCTCCAGTCCTGCCATCCTCTGGCATCTCGCAGGCCTGTTTTTCTAGCCCCTTCGCTCGGGCCTTTAAGACCCTTCCATCCCCCGTGCTCCAGGCGTGTTTCCTGCCTCCCCACGTGCCAGCCCTCAGTCCCTGCCAGCCTCCGGCCACTCGAGGCCGTGCAGCGTGGTCACCCACCCGCGCCACCGCAGCCTCGCCACACGGCGACTGTGAGATGCCCCTCAGACGCCAGCGGGGCCCCTCGGCTCCGCGCCCACCTGGCCCAGCCTCCACGCGAGCCCTCCCCAGGGTCTGTCCTCAGCCCCTTCGTGTCTTGCACGGTGACCCCAGGCATGAAAGCAGCCGACCACATTGGTGACAGGGCGGGAGGCAGGGGGGTGTCAGCATCAGCATCAGAAGGTCGCTAAGCAAACCTCAAACCCCTCGAGGGACGACAAACAGCGGGTGGGGACCTGCCGCGGTGAAGAGATACTTACAATCCTCTGGCAAAACCTCCTTAAACTGCTCGAAGTAGGAATTTAACCGCACCAAGCTCTCCACGTTGATAACTTCTTGTAAAGACGTGTCGCCAAACCTTCAGAGGTCACAGGGGGACACTGTTAGCTGGCTAATGTCGCCGTCTCTAGCGCCATGGTGACCGCGTTAAAGGTAACGATGTCGATTCTCTCGATCCTTATGGCGCACGTCAAGATTCTAAGCCACATTCCTCCCCCCAAGCTTAAGGTCATCTCTCCCGTGTTGGTGAGAAGTCTGAATACGTTTCATGAGCAGGAACCCTGCGTGACCTGTGACAGGCATGCTTGCGAGACACCCAGGCCCTTGGGCAGCCCCGCCGCGCGGCCCCAGGTCCCCGTCTTCCCACCCCGGAGGCGCCCGGGAGTGGGGCCGGCAGTGGGGCTCTGGCTGGGGAATCAGGACAGTCCCATCTTCAAATCGGAAGTCGCCCTGCTGCTGGATGACCAGACCCGACCAGCTGTTCCTGCTGGATGGAGTGCAGGGCCCCAGCCCTCCCCTCACCACACAGGGAGCCAGGCCCGCGGGGAGTCGGGAGGGAAGCCACCCGTGAGGAAGGCGCAGGTGCTCATCAAACACGCAGCCCTGGAGTCCCAGGCCTGGACGCACGCCCCCTCCACCACTTCCTGCCCAGCGACCTCCGTGCATGGCAGCCTCTTCACAGTCCCAAAGGGGGCAGGATGCCCTCCTGTGGGTCCACCGCAACCCGACCACCCCTGATGCCCAAAATGCCTTTTTCTCCTCCAGGCACCTGCTCCCTGGGGGTCACCCTGGGACACAGGTGAGCTGACCTTGTTTAGGAGCAGACAAGCAAGCAGAGCACAGACCCTGCCTCCCGTGTCCCCCGTCCACTGCCATGTCCTCCGCCACCTGGCCCTCTGCTCACTCCAATCCGGCCTGGCCTCAACCCTTTGCAGAAACCTTTCCAGAAACACCTTTTTCAGAAACCACTCTTGCAGTCAGGAACAGCGGCTGCCAGATGCAGGGGATGTTACCTCCTCCTGGGGCCCCGACACTGCCCGCTCTCCCTCAAGTGGGCACCTCACCTCTGGCCACACCTTCCGGATCTCTGCTTCCTGGGCTGGCGCCCTCAGCCTAAGGCCAGCTCTCCAACTGCCCCCAGCATGACCCCTCTCCCGGTTAGGACCAGCTACTCACCACCCACCTAGAGGCCTGCTCTGTTCCTCTCCTTGTCGCCTCTCACACCTGCCCCGCTGAAGACCACGCCTCGGCTCTCCAGTCTGTCCCTTCCCATCTGCACTGCCCCTGCCTGACCCAGGTCACCGCCTCTGGCCCGGACTCTTCCCGACAACCCCCTCGTCACATCTGGCCCCTCACATCTTTCCAGCACATGGCCGGCAGATGACCTTCTTCAGATGTGACTCTGCTGGTGTCCTGTCCCGCTGAAAGGTCTCCGACCGTGTGGGGAGGACCCTACACCTGGGGATCGATGGACACTGACCACTGGGCTCAGAGGCTCAACAGGAATATGGCATGTCGTCCTGGAGACCACATGTCCTTAACAGCAAGAACTTTCAGATAGCTTTCAGTTCTAAAACACGTAGATCACATGCATGTAATGACGTGACAGGAAAGGTCTTCACGTACCAACAGAAGGTCATTAGAAGCTACACACACCCAATCCCCTCCTCTCCAACACCTGCACACACTCTTGCACATGTGGGCACACGTGACTCTTCCCTGTTGCCTGGCAGGTGACCCTGGAGGAGTTCATGAGGCACAGGCCTTTAGGACCAAGGTGTGGCTCTATGCCTGCCATCCAGGCCTCTCCGTCCTCACCCCTGCTCACTGCTGCCTGCCACCTGAGCCTCCGGCCCCACGTGGCTTCTCCCCACCTGCCTCTGTTCAGGCTCCTTGGCCCGGGACGCCAGGTCTCTCCTCCACCTCCTCATATAACCAACTCCTACTTACTCTTTAAAACCCACTTCCAGGAAGCCCTCCCAGACCCCCTGAGACCTCACTAGGGCCCCTACTCCCTGCATTCATCTTAATCCTTGCAGCCACCTCTCTGCTACCAGCCCAAGTCTCTCGAGGACACGGACCTCGTCTGGTTCATCTTTGTGTTCCAGCACCAAAGACGAGCCCGGTATGTGGCTGAACTTAAAGGAAGGAGGGATAACAAAGTCCAGGTGGCCCTCGGAGCCCGGAGAGGACTAAGCACACGCTCTCCAGCAGCTCAGCGACCAACGGATGCAGCCCCTGGCCCACAGAGGTGGCCCGGCACGCACCTTTCGGCCAGCGTCTGCTGCTCGTTGATGCCCACGTTGAAGAGCACGGGCTGCACCCGCAGCAGCATCCCGCTCTGGATCTCCCGGGGTAGGGCGTCAAACAGGGGGCCCGGCAGGGGGATCCGCACGTTAAAGCCATCCCTGAAATGCAGAAGAAGAGGAGGGTCAGGCCTGCGACAGGGAGATGCGAGACAGGCAAGCAAGGAGAGGAAGGCCCTGCTGGCCTCAGGACGGGACAGCGGCCTGGCCCAGCTCAGAGACCTCCTAGCTGCCGGTCACCGACCTGTACAGGGCTGTGAAATGAGTGTAGCGGGCTGGGATGAGCGTTTCCAGCTGAATGCAACGGAATAAAGCAAAAATGAAACGTGCATCACATGTGATGAACACAGATGAAAACTGCGCTAGTTCTGAGAATCAGAAAAACATTTCTACCGATTTCCTGTGATGACGGGCAGCATGTCGGTTGATGCATTAGAAGTAGCCTGAGTGACTTTGAAGGTCACGTTCCTCAAGTCCATGATCCCAAGACTCATGTCCTCCAGCATGGCCAGCTCCTCCCCTGGAGGCAAGAGAGGGAAAGGGCTGTCAGGCAGAGGGGACCTGCGCTCTCCCCTGGACTCAGCGTGGCCATGAAGGACAGTGATGAGTTCAGGGCGGCAGTGACGAGGCGGTGAGAGTTGGGGGGAGGCTGGCCAAGTGCCTCACTTCTCCGTGAGTAAAGCCCACTACTGAAGTTCTATGGCCACGTTAAAAAGCGCAGCTGGTGCAACCACGCCTTGTAGTTCCCAGCCCTTTCCTGGCGAAGGGAGGGGTGGGGGACCTACACGTGGGAACCTCAGAAGGCAAAGCCGGCTCGTTAGGTGTTGTGATCTTTCCGTATTCTTTAGATCTTTTGATATTTCTTCAATGTCTTAGAACTCCAAAGATTAACAGATACTTTAAAAAAATTATCTGTTTTTACCTTCTAAGAAGAAATAAACAGAAAACAAAGGTGAGGAGAAGAGAGCATTTATAAGACAATTTGGAAATACCAACAAATTTTTAAAATACTCCTACTGTGTGACCCAGCAACTTTCCTTCTAATAATTTAGTGGGTGCAAAAATGGGCCACAAGCGGGTGTTTGTGTGTGTGCCTGTGTGTAACTATATAGGGCTTTTTTTAGTTCTTTGTCACCTATCGGGGTGTTTGGATACATTTTCATCAGTACGTGTTACCTGTGTACCAGAAAACCACTCAGGGAGACGAGAGGGGGCCACACACGGAGGCTCTCCCAAGCCCAGCCCAGGCGGCTCACCGTAGGTGCTCAGCAGGCTCTCAAACTGGGCGAGCAGCCCGATGGTGTAGAGCTGCCGCAAGAAGCCGTCGTCGTGCAGGCAGTTCCTCAGCTTGATGACGAAGCCACAGATCAGCGCCGTCAGCTGCAGGGAACAGACACCGCCTCACCTCGCGCCTGGCCCGCCCCGGTTCCTGCACCCGCGTTGCTCTGCCTGCGGCGGCCCCTCGCCCTCGGGGGCTGGGACCAGGAGTGCAGAGGCCACGGGAGGGCTCGCTTCCAAAGGTCCGTCTGGTTTTGGGTCAGTTTCCGACCCGACCTTGGGGTCACTCCTGGGCCAGAACCTTCTGGAAGCCCAGAATGATTTCCCCACGGTGAAAGGAAAGGCCTCTATGCCCGAAGATCCAGAGCAGCGCTGGCTGGAAAGCGGGGTGCTCACGACGAGGGGCAGGAGCGGAGAACAGGGTGCCCCGTGCACAGCCCCGGCCTCGTGGGGACAGGAAGCCGCACGGAACCCACCAAGCCTCTGCCAGCGTTCACTCTGCTAATCAGATGACTGCACCTGAACACTGGTGATGCTCATCTAAGCTCTTCCCTCCTCTGAAGGGAAATCGAAATCACCGGAATAGAGCTGTGCCTGAGCGGGCCTAATACCTGCTGCTTTATAAACCAGAAAACAGATTGCGCGTCTTCCCTCAATGAACTCCTCCGCAGGGAAGAACAAAGGTGGCACCAGGGCCGGTGTGACCCCAGGCTCCTTGGGGCAGGTTCCCAGGGAGCAGGTGTGAAGCCGGACTGTCCTGAGCACCTGCGATCCAGCAGCTCCCCTCCCCCTCCCTCCAAGGCCAACACCCAGGCCTCAGGCCACACGGGCAAAGCCACAGGCGGGAGGGCAAAGCGCCACGCTGGTTTCCTCAACCGGCAGAGAGGGACAGGTTCACCTACCGTCTGGCAGAAGACCACGTCGCGGCGGTACTGCAGGCTCAGGAAGGTGGCGATGGTGGGCGCGCTGTCCTGCATGAGCAGGAAGACCATCGCCTTCTTGGCCTTGTCGCTCATCATGGCCACGCAGTCCGTGAGGGTGGTCAGCAGGGGGTACAGGGCCTCGCTCCACTCACCTGGCACGAGGGGCGGTCGGCTCAGAAGGTGGCGCTTCGAAGGCCCCCGGCCCCCAGTCCCGCACCGGCCCGGCCACCCTGCCTGCCCCTCCCGCCTCCGCAGGGCCCAGAAGGAGCGCCAAGTTCAGCCCCGGTCTCTGCCCTCCTAGCCTGAAGCTTCTCCAGCAAACACACCATCAGCCCTCCTCGGGGACCACCGACACCCGCTCTGGGGACTCTACACACTCACGGCCCCGACTGTTCCTTTCGAGCAAGATGACAGCGAGCTCTGGGAGTCATGACTCAGCAGGAACACATTGTGTCTGCGGAGGCCAGTGCCTCCCAGCACCGCCATCCCTCGCGGGGTACCTGCTGTCTGGCTTCTCTGATCCAGGTGGCGAGGCAGAGCCCCGGGCTTCCGGAGCAAGGCCAACCCAGCCTGGCCGAGCCTTTGCGCCGCGGGCGCAGGCCCCACCCACGACTGCGGAAGGACCCTCCCCGCCTACGCAGCCCTCAGCGTCCCCGCCTCCTGCGCTTTCTTCCCCGCTGCCACCTTCCTGCCAGACTCCCCCTATTCCTGGCTTAGTGCGGTTTTTCTGTTTTTGGAATATAAGGAAACTTTGACCCTGTACCAAAACAACTTTTTAAAAATAGAACCTCAGGGGAGAAAAACAGAGTGAAAGGTATTTTTGGCTTTGGCTCTTCTCGGTCCTTCCTATTTGGAAGACATTTAGACGAGAAAAGACATGCCCCCATCAGTTATATTTTTTTAACAGGCCACCAAGCCCAGAAATAGGCACTGGATCATCACCACTGGGTGCCCCACCCGGAGCGCGGCGAAGGCAGTGGTGTGCAGCCCGGGCAGGGCACCCTCCTAGGATGGGGTGCATGCGGGTCACAGGATGCCCGTGGCCGTCGCCCCACCCAGGACAGGACCTGGCCTCGTGAGCAGTGCAGCTGCTAGGATGGTCAGCTCCGTCTCAGATAAACAGAATCTTAAAAAGAGAGAAGGGAGCTGTGGTTCTGCTCTCTCCAACTGTGTGCTTCACGCTTTGCTGAGAAACAAATTCAGAGAAACGCCTAAAACCTACAAAAGGACTTCCCTGTACTCAGTGTTTGGTCAACGCAGATTTTCAAGTCTACGTAGCCATTCAGAATTTGGAAATGATCTAAGTGTGTATGCAGACACACTGTACGCGGACAAGGATTTCTACCTCTAGTGGAAAAAAGCAGGCTTACATTTAGAAAGTCTACAGCAAAAAGGTCCTGGCAAATAAATCACAGTGGAAAAGAACCCTGCATGGAGGAGTGGAAAATGTGAGTCCCAGGCCCCAGCTGCCACTGAGCAGTGGTGGGCGAGCCGTGGGCAGGTCCCCTGACCCCTCAGCCACAGGCGCCCTTTGCGGTAAAACGGGGCGACTGTTGTGGATAATATCCACGTCTTTCTTCCTCTAAAATTCTCAGAGACCATGTTTTTGTTTCTTTGAAGAACTCTGTTGAATCCATGTTCAACAACTGTCAGAAAAGGCCAATGGGCATTAAGTTTTAATAGCCAAGTAGTTTGGGGAAAGGTAGGCAGTCATTAAGACTACGCTTCACCTCAGAAGTAAAGGCTCTTAGAGCAAGTGTTGCCAATTTTACTTTCTGTTCCACTTAACATGAATATATATATGTAATCACTATGCAACTCATGATCATTTTAACCTGAAAGTGATCAGAATATACAAGTGGTCTTATGTGACTGAGCAAGCCCTCTGCATACAATTTTTTACTCTGCCTACTTCTGTTTAAACAAAATCCACATAAGAATGACTTAGTTTTGCTGCATTAGAGAAAAAACAACAAACCAGACAAAAAAAAAAAAAAAAAAAAAAGACACTGAAAAAAACTGTAGAATTGGAAGAATGGTTTAAAAAAAAAGCACTCAGGGTTTGTTCCGGAGAAGAGATGTGGCCCTGGGCGGGAGTTGAGCCTGATGTCCGCCTAGAGAAGGGCTCAGCCATGTCTGGATGGCTCCGGAGTTCAATGAGAGCATCAACCAGCCCTTAAATCAACACCTGTGAGTGCCTCACTCTCTGTTTTCTCACTTAATCCACAGAGAGAGCACTAGTAATATGGGTAAGGAAAGCCTCAGAAAGGCTAAGTGTCTTCCCAGACACACAAAAAGAATGGCCACTTGTACACACATCTGACTACGCAGCAAAGAGTCATTGGGGATTAATACATTTTGGGTCAACACGAGGGGAAACCAAACTTCAGAACTTCCAAACAAAATAAATTTCAGGGACAGTGATGAGATTTCTACCAGAACCTAGTTAAGTACAGGTGTCTGGGACGTTAGGGTTGGTGAAGGGGTTTACTCTGCCTCCTACATCGAGAAAGTCTGGCAATGAACAAAAAACACCAGTGCCTAAGCAGCACCCTTCGTGCTGGAGCCGATGCCCCTTGTGGGACAAGCTCCCGACCTCACTGCTCACCTGCAACATGCACTGACGGGTGGCCAGTCCAAGACTGTGCTACTTTAGGTAGCTTTGCTTTGTGTATTTTTTTTTTTTTTCTCATTAATAGGGGAAGGAAAGGAGAAAGTAGGGAGAGAGAGAGAGAGAGAGGAAATGGCGTGTTCTAACTCAGACTAAATACAGCTCTGTGGGAAAAGCTAAAGGAACCCCTGGCAGGGGACCTTTTAGTCCATCTGACATCAACTGTGGACAGGCCACCAAAGCTTCTGGAAGTGACAGAGCTCACAGAAGACGAGGAGAGCTGTACAAGCCAGGCTGCCCGAGTGCTGCCCGGGAACCCGCTAGACCTCCCCTCGGCTCTACAAACTGCAGGGCTCGCAGAGCCGAGGAAAGCCCCGAGCTGCCTCGGGCCAGGGTCATGAGGCCGCCACCCCCTTTCCTGGCCTTAACTGCTGGGGACGGTCACCGCCACGGGGCTCGGGGGAGACAGCGCAGCGAGAAGGCACCGACCTGTCCTGCAGGTAAGCTGGGGGGACTGGGAGTCCAGAGGCAGGTGGGAAGGAGCCAGGCCCGGGCCAGGGGAGGTGCTGGGGAGGGCCCAGGGAACCGGAGCTGGAGACCTGCTCGTGACCAAACTAACGTTTCTGGGGAGAGAAACTGAGGGGCTGAAAGCAAACTCGGGGGTTATGAGGTGCCCCATCAGATGACCCGCTGATGAGCAAATGGGGTTCTGGAGTCACGGCCGTGAGCGGAGCTGAATTCCCCGGTGCCGTGTGAGCGAGAGGATGCTCTGAGAGCTGACGGGAATAGTGCGGCAAATCCCGCAATCACAGCTGGCTGCGCCCTAGACATGAGGCAGGCGGCCTGCTATGTCATATTTACATGCAGTCAGAGGGCGGGATGCAATCCTCAGGCTGACTGGGTAGCTGCTTTTTGGAGTGTAAGGGGAAAAAAACCCCACAACATCGTACTTGGGGGTCTCATGCTCCCTCTGGGAAAACCACAAGCCACATTGAGGAAATTCGATACGAACTAGAGCAGGGGTCGGCACAGTTTTTCTGTAAAGGACTAGACAGTCGACACTTTAGGCTTTGAAGGCCACAGGGTCTCTGTCACAACTACTGGACTCCGGCACTGCCCCAAAGCAGCCGTGGACAGTATGTGAACGAATGGGCGTGACTTATTTCCAGGAAAACGGTATTTACAGGAGCAGGCGGTGGACGGGATTCGCTCGGAAAAGTGGTTTGCCGACCCCTGAACTAGAGTCACAAACACTGATTTCTACATGCAAATGCAGTCCAAAAGATGCCATTTCTAGCACTAACTCCACCCGAAGCCCACAGCAGTGCCTGACAGGAAGTCTAAGGCTGCAGCCAGGCTCAGAAGAGAGGAGGCTGTGTGATTACCGTGCCACAGCATCTGGACGGCTACCTCTTATCTGCCTCCCCCTCCATGGGACGCTCACAAGCTCAGGTGAAATCACAGGAAGCGTCACGTACCATCAGGTACCTCTCTTAGCCAGGCCACCCACTTCAGGAAGCCTAATGCGCTCGTGGACACTAACTTCTGAAAAGGGTTTAGGACGGGAAAGTGACAAAAACGCATGTGGTAGCCTGCTTCTGGCCACAATACCAGCCCGACTGGCCCCTCGGCAAACCTAAGAAAAGTTGCTACATCCCTCACAATGAGGAAACTCCTAAAATGTTTTCCTGACTCTGGGAGTACAAGGTAACCTTTGACAGTTTAGCTACAAACATGCCCTGAATATTAAGAAGACGTCTGCAGAAGCCTTGAACAGAAACCACGTACCTGGGCTGGACTCTTCAGGAGGGGGACTGCAATCTGCACAGAAATGGAGGGTGACACGGATGATTAAGGAGCGGCACACGGTTCAAACACGAGCAACTCAACGCTTAGCGCAACTGCGGCAGCAGCTGGCAGTAGGCCGGCTAAACCGAGCCTCGGAGAAGAGGCCGGGGGCCTGCCTGCCTCTTCCCCAGGAGTCACACGAAGGTGGTCGGGCTGCCTGGAGCTCCCTGCCCGATCCACCGGTGTCAACGTGCATGTTGCTGGTACTTCAACATGACACACTCTTCGGGAAGAGCAGGTTAACGTGTCACAATGAGATAAAGCCCCCACGTCCATCCCATTGCATGTGCTGGAGCCCACGCTCGCTCACGACACCTGGAAGTAAACTTGCAGTGAGAGAGACTGACCGGTAAATCGAGCGTGCAGCTCAGAGCCCACCGCCCTGACTGACTCTAGAGCCCGGGCTAAAGGTCGGCTGCTGAGATCCAAAAAGGTTAGGGTCCAGTCATGAAACCCATATACCAGACACATGCATGCCAATCTTTACGATGTATAAGCCAAATACAAAACGTTTATGACTGAGGGGAGTCTGGAGTTGGAACATCCCTCCAGGTCCCTCAAGAATACCAAGTGTAACTCAATTTCACCTACACTGAGTCACATCGGGAAGTACTCGTTTCAAGTTCTCTTCTCCCTTAAAAACTCTAAAATTCCTGGTTAACTGGGTGTGCCACCTGAAACAAACAAGTTTGAAAAGGGATCGTTTGGGCTAAAAGCTTATTTTATTTTATGTCTAAACTTTTCAGTTCAAAGAACGTTTTAGGATCCTGAAACAGGTGGTTTCAGATCCTCAAGAATAACTGGAACCAGCTGAACGGAGACTTTGACAACCTGGATTGTCCAGAAGGGTGGTGGCAGGGATCTTCTCTCTAATTGTCTTTGGCAATGACTTCTTAAACTGGCCAACGGGACAGAAAATAGAGCAAAATTAAAGGCCTCTGTATGCTGAAGACTTCAGCGTCTTCACTAGAGTGCAAATATCCTGAGACTGCCTGCTTCACACAGAGGGAAACCACCGTGGCGCGTGTGATGCACAGCGGTGACTGTTCAACATCTGTCTGGCTAAAATCAGAACTACCCCAGGCCTTGGAAAAATACAGACTTCTACCTCCCCATAACCCTTCCTCCAAGATCCCAAGGCTCTATGAGGAGAAGGGTTTAGAAGCCTGTTTTCATGATCTGCAGTGATCCCAAACTGCTGGGCTGGGACCATGCCTGAGAAGGGATCAGGGGTTAAACCCACTGGGTAGGCTCGTCTTTCAGTCAAACGGGAGAGAGGGATCTCCTCTTAGATCACAGAGGCCCTGCGATTTGATGCCCACTGTGGACTGCTCCACACACATGCGGATTTTAGCGCACAGTCTCAGGGGTACGGGGACCTGGGGTGCAACCCATAGATCTCAGGTTAAGAGAAACCTGGTCCAGGGTTTGAAGGACTCTTCGGGGATGAGGAGAGCAGGAGAGAGTGTGTGGGGGAGGTAATGGAAGTCACCAAATCCTGACAGTTTGCAGACGGGTCACTTGGGTGGAAAACCAGGAGGAGAGGGAGGCTCATGGAGCCTCTGCGGTCCCCGCTGCGGGGGACTGGTCAGTGGGCCCTGCGGAGCCCTGACCCCAGGCGGGGCTGAGGCAGGGCGACTCCTTGATGAAAGATGAAAACCAAGGACCCAGGACAGGGTAGAGAATTGCAATGAAAAGAGAGAACGCCTTTCAAAGGGGCATGGAGTTGTTCACGGGCAGTAAATACGCTGGTGTGAACACAACCCCGCTCATTAGGCCAAAACAAGTGCCCCAGGAACCTGGAAGGGCATCGGGAGTCACGACAGAGCCCAGCTCTGGTCCCTGAGGACAAGAGATTGAGTAAAACAAATGGCTCACAGTCTGGTTTGTCCAGATCCTCCTGATCATGCCGAGGTCTGGACGGCTTCCCGGCTGTGCTCAGATTTTTAAATTAAGGACCACGTGCAGGTAATTTAGAGGCCTGTGGTTTCATAAGTTTCTTTTGAGCGCTGATCAGAGTCAGACTCTCTCAAATGCTTCCTACTCCCATGAGCACAACAGAGCTGATCTGTACGGCACACACAGGTACAAGTCAAGCCCTAAATATCACAAAGAAATGCTCCTTTAAATAACTTTAAAACTGCGCTTAAATTTGTCTATATATTTGAACAATAGGGGACGTGCCTAGAAAAAGAGGACATTTAAGTTATGAATACAACAGTATATCCAGTTAAATGAACTATCTCCTGCATTTAAAAAAATCCAATCAGTAACTTTTTTTAAATATGCAGAAAAATGTTTAAATTGCAAGCAAGACAATATTAAAGAGAAATGAGCAATGAACTTTCAGAAATTTTTTTAAAGAAACACAATTTACATTAAAAAAAAAAAAATGACAGCACGAACAAAGACAAAACAGTTCCATGAACCAAACACAGGTTTGGGGAACTGAAAGTCGAACCCCTCACAGATGGCAGAGTGGAGGACGGGGACACCGAGGAAACACAGGCTCGAGTGAGAGCACACCCTGAGGACAGACTGCAGGCGGACAGGAGGGGGAGGGTGTCTGACAAACCCAAGGAGGATTTACCAAGAGGCTCCGACAGGGGAGCGAGACCCTGCCTTGAATGAAAGCTGCCCGGTTCAGAAATGACAAGTCCCACTGCCAGCGGCCCATCCCTGGCCCAGCTGGGCCTTAACCCGCCCACAGGGGGGCAAGGAGGCGGCGGCGGCAGCTGGATCTCAGCTGCCTGGCGCACAACCCCACCAGCTCTTCCGGGGAAAGGCCAGAGCTGCAGGGACCAGGGACCCACGGGTTCAGGAGGCACGAGGCCCCCCGCTGTAAGGCGGCAGCGGGCAGAGCGTCTGGTCATGCCCTGTGTCTCCGCAGGCAGCAGGCTGTTTCTGAAGCGTGCCGCTTCACGCCAGCGTCCCGCCTTCTACCGAGAGCCCCACCTTGGAGGTGGCGCCGAACAGAGGAACCGAACTGGCCCCCCCAGACGTGGGAGCGGGGCCCACCCTCTGACTGGGTTACGAGCAAGGCCCAGGGCAGCAGGCCTCTGCCGGATAAGCGCACCCAGCCAGTGACAACCAGGCTTTCCAGACAAGTCCGCTGGGCCTGCCACCAGCTCTCATCCAGAGAGAGCTGCGCGCCTCACCTTGTCCCTGATGCCTGATGCCGTAAGCAACCTCACGAGAAAGGCATCTACCGTTCGGCCTCCTTCGGGTCCCCAGACTGGCTGACAAACCAGCAAAGTCCAGGAGCCCCACCCTCCCGGATGCGGCAGCGTGAGCCCGCGGGGCCCTGAGGACCGGCCTTCGCCTGCAGGCTCACACGCGGCCCCCCCCCCCGCCCCCACTGCTCTGGGTGCCGCGACACCCCCTCTGCTGAGAGGCCTCCCTGCAGTCTGCGTGGCGGGCGTGGAGTTAGAGACACACACGAACACACAGACAGCGCTCGAGGTGGAGGTGGGAAGCCGGGTGCGTACGCACGTGTGGTCGGGTGAGGGCGGCATGCGGCGGGGGGGCGTGGCGAGGGGGGCCCGTCGCAGAGGGGGTCCTCCGGTCGGATCCAGTAGGCCTGGCTGCCCCGGTTACCTTTCCTTCCTGCGCAGCTGCCTGTGCCGGGGAGGCTGTGGTCGCAGCCCTCGGCCTGCAGGCGCTCCCGCTGCAGCAGCTTGTCTGCCCGCTGGATGATGCACTCCAGGCTCTTGTCCACGTTCAGCCACACCTTCTCCTGGCGGACCCAAGGGGCGCGGGGTCAGCTCTCCCAGCAGGAGACACAGGGCAGAAAGCAGGGCCCGCCCCCCACCCCCAGGCGCCACGCCCACTGAGACCCCTCAGGATGCAGAGAGGGTGAGACAATTTGGAATCCCCCATTAAGCTGCATCTGCTTTTCCAAAGACAAGTCGATGTCCCGTGGGCGTCAGTTTCAAAGCTTGGGGGACGTCTGTTAGTCGCTGTCCCGGAGGCCACTGTGGGTACAAGGGCCACGGGAGCACCCTCGTCCCCTCCTCCCTCCCCGCAGACCTCGTACAAACACCGCAGGGGACTGAGGTCTTCTGGATGGAGGCCGTGGATCGCTCAGCATGGGGGACGGGGGCGGGGGGTCCCTGCAGAAACCCAGGCAGCACTCAGGACGCCAGGGCAGGCCTGGGGGAGCGCGCTGCTGCCGCCGGCAGTCCGGTGCCCCCAGGACGACACCGCCGAAGAACAGTCCCAGCAAATGACAAACACGAGTCCGTGATGTGTCACTCCCTCAAGGGGCAGACCCTGCTCTCAAAGCCCACCCAGCGGAAGCAACATCGTGACGGGATGTCAGGGCGGCGTCTCCCAAATCCTCACCAAGCTGCCCAGCACCTCAGCTCCCACATCTCCAGAGAGACGTGGCCCCGGCAGGGCTGACGGCCAGTGGAGGCCGAGGGGGCAGGGCCCGGGCTGGGCCCGACACCCGCGAGGGAGCGAGGCCTCGCATTTTCCAGGCCGGCTCAGCGGTAGGGTGACAGGCGGGGGCGGCAGACTCACCCACTCCTCCTCGTGCCAGTCCACCTGCAGGGAAGACCGGCTGTTCCTGCCCGACCACCTGGCCATGAGGGTGTCCTGGTCGTTCCTCAGCATCACCTGCTCCTCCTCAGTGGAGGTGGGCGAGGCCTTGGAGGCGATGTAGTCGGGCCGGGCCGCGTTCAGCCCGTGGATGGAGGTGGCCAGCAGCTTGCAGTCGCACACGGTGACCAGCTGCCGGGTCTGCAGGGACACATGCACACCCGGCCTCTCTGAGCGCCCAGCCCACCCCCCTCCGCCCTCCCGCACGGTGCCCACACCCCAAGAGCTGCAGCCCTCGAGACGGCCGAGGTTTAAGGCTGCCTGCCGCACGACAGGCCCGGCTGAATCTCGGCAAGAACTTCCCACAGAAGCCCAGAGAACGCAAGGAGGACGACAGGGAAGCCAAGAAGCCTCTGACATTCTTGGACCCCGGCCAGCCTCTGAGCCTGACATGGCTGGAGGAGGGGCCCGGGGTGAGCCCAGTGCCAGCCTTCACTGGCTTCCCGGGCTGTCCCTCCATTCCAGGGCACAGGCCTCACTTCAGTTTAACCGCTGAAGTCTTATGCGTCACATCTAATACCTGAAGCCCCGGGCAGCGGGATTCCTGGCATAGCACTTGCGGTTCTGGGGAATTCTGCACGCAACAGCAGCTCTGTGGCTCAGAATTTGACGTCTGACAGCGTCACCTTTATTTTATGAGTGGATTTAATCCCCGGCTCTCAGTCTTTTTACTGGGCAAACACATGGGAAGGATACAAGACATTCGGACAGGGAAAAGCAGCTCATCCCAGTGAAGCAGGTGTGTGTGGGGAAGTGTGACCAGAATCTGTGTGTGCACGTGTGTGTGCCTGTGGCCACGTGTGTGTTTGGCGGAGGCACGTACGTTGGGAGAGACACTGAGTCATGTGAAAAAGCATCACCCATCAATTTTTAATCAGGATCAGGTGACAGTTAATTAGAAGCTGGTTTGTGGACTATACATAACCCAGTGAAATTATACTGTTCTTATATTATGTGTGTATAATAACTCAGTTTCTTTTTTCGAACTGTGAGTACAACAGAAATGTGGCCCCAAATGTGCTGGGTAGGCAGTCACTAAGGAAGCAGAGGAACTGTCCCAGCTTCAACAAGACCCCCGTGCGCTCCCTGGAAAGCCAAGTGCATGAAGCCACAGCTGAGGCTCCTGAGCTCCGGGCTCTATTGCTGGTCTGCCCCCATCCAGCTCTGTGACCACGGGCCAGTCACCAAGCTCCGCCCCAGGCCTTTGTGGGAATAGGATCTGAAGTCAGACCTTCAAGGTCATCCCAGTGTCACCATTTGTGTGGACAGCTCTAGGCACACATGAGGTGTCCAGGGGTACTCAGAAACCCAAGGGACCCCCACCCCCCTGCAGCAGGGTAGCCTCTCCTACCTTGTCTGCTAAGATGGCGAGTGTTCTTTCGAGGCCAGTGGCGGACCTGTCCTTGGCCGCCCTCGAGAGCCTCTCTGCGTAGTAACTCACTTGGGTTTTCAGGGTGTTGATCTGGGCAATGATCTCCTTGGCTCTGACAATGTCCTGTGGTATGTAGATGATGGACTGGCAGCTGGACGACGTACTAAAAAGGATGAGAACAGCTTCTAAGGGGTTCTCTTGAATCGGTGGGGATAGTAGCACCTCCCCACCCCTGCCCACCACCAACACGAGGTGAAGCCTCCTGTTACTCGGGGCTGTTTCCTAGGCTGGTCTAGTTGTTGGTGGACAAGAGGAAATCTCAGCAGATCCATTCTGTCTGTACAGTAGAGGCTTGAAATGTTAAAATACAATTAAGCCTTTTATCCATGTTTGCATGTATCTGTATTCTTACTGTGTTTCTACCTGTGTGTACAGATGCTGAACCCAGTAGTTGCCTGGATGCTCACAACCTTTCACCTAAGAACCTCTTCTGTCAGTTTTTAAGCAGTACTTGAGTGGAGACCTGCTGACACCAGAGTGGCTCACACCGCAGTGAAGGGAGACTGCAGTAGGGGCTGGACTTTGCCAAAAGAAACCTGTCTTTTCATTTGGCCAATCAGGACTTCAAACTTTCTGCGCACAGACCCACACCCTCCCTCATGTGTCTACCCCAGCAAGTCCCCAGAACACTGGGCTTCCATCCTCTCTCCCCTGCTCCGGGACTCCCCTGCTCAATGTTCCATCGGATGAAGGGGGGCATGGAGAACATGCCGAACTGGAGGCCAGGCCTGGATGCCTCACTGGCTTTGAAAACCAGTCCTTCCCTCGTCCCCCACTCCCTGCCACCGAGCAGCATGTGCATCTTGGGATCTGATGTCAAAGCTACTGTCCGGCACAAACACCAGCCTCCGGGGATCCAACTCCACGTCCCTGGCTTCGTGGGACCTTCTAGATGGGGATGGTAAATTGCATGTCTCTTAGCTAAGATCCCCAATCAACCCAATATTATAAGTTTATTTTTCAGACCACCTGAGGAAGCTGAGGGAAACAGGGAGACGTATAAGGCAGCCATGCTTCATGTAAGGAGGGGCCCTGACTGGTCCCCTCGAAGAGCTGCCCTTTGAGTTCAGGGGAAGAGGGAGGACCACACCCCCCACTGCTGCCCCTGGAGGTGAGGGTCACACGGTAGGACTGAGCCCTTTCCCTGCTGGGCTCTTTCCAGGGTAACCCGAAGCTGGGTCACCAACAGACCGCCTTGCCCATTCCCCTGATGGACTATGGGGTAAACATGCAAAAACAAAAACCCGAAGCACCCGAGAAAAAACAACACCCCAAGCCCAGACACCACAGTGAAAAACGATGGAGCTGCCAGAAGCCCATGCAGCAGGCTGCGGTCAAGCCTGCACAGCACGAGGTGCGCACGCTGCTCTCCAACCTGCAATCGCTGCTGAATGAATAGCTGCCGTCTGGGGCAGCTGCGTCTCGGGGGCGCTGCCCCGGGTCTCGGGAGCGCCACCCCGGGTCTCGGGAGCGCTACCCCGGGACCGGCTGTGAAATTTACTCTTCCCACACGGGAAGGACGTGGCGGAATAGCTACCATCTGGGACAGCTGGGTCTCGGGAGCGCTACCCCGAACAGGCTGTGAAATTTACTCTTCCCACACGGGAAGGACGTGGCGGGAGTGAGAAAGGATGCACTTCAAAGAGCTGCTGTTCACGGATGACCGTGAACACATGAGCGTGGGAGCCCAACCACAGGCCTAAACGGGGGGCAGCCCCAGAGCCTCAGCCACCGGGGAGGGTGTCCTCAGCGTGCAGCACCTCCAGGAGTGTGCGCCCTGCCACGGCCCCTGAGCTGCTCCAGCTCTACGACAGCAGCAGTTCTGAGGGCTACGGGTGCCTCACAAGCCCCAGGGCGGAGCCCCTGTTCTGGGCCGGGGCAAGCGCCCCAGGCGGGTCTGGGGAGGCCTGGAACGGCAGTGGGGACCCCAGGCAGCAGGCATGGTGGCTTCTGGCTGCCATCTCATTGTTGGTGGAAAAAGTCACTGGGTTGTATTAATTGTTGGTTTGCCCTCCAGGGATAAAACTGGCCTTAGTAATACTGTTTTACAAATCTCCATTAACTATTAAATACCATAAAAATGTAAGCTGGCTTCATTCCTACAAGACGTGAAGGGAAACTGAAAACTGAAAAGCAACAGGTTCTTGTAAAAGAAGCCAGGAAGGGACTCCCAAACGCACCAGTGGGTTGACTTGAAATCCCAGCACCTGGGGACCTGCCCGGCCTGGGCTCCTCATATCCCGGAGGAACAAAACTGGGTCTTCGCTTCGAGTGAGCACAGCAATGAACTGCTACCAGACTGGGAGGGTTTGACACAGCAGACCGGAGATGGGCTATTCATTATCACAGAAGATTGCAGTTGGAAGGAGAATTCTGTCTATGAGGCTACAACTAGGAGCCCACGGGGGCACGGAGGGGGAAGCACCTCAGAGGAGGGGGACAGTCTCTCCGCACGAGAGCAAGACCCAAACACACACTCTCCACAGACAGAAAACTCACCAACACTCCTCAAAACTGCTAAAGAAAAGAACCAAAACGAAATATTAGCAGCTGGTTAGCAAACGGCAAATGCAAAACAAAAATTAAAAAAACAAGTTCTCTTTCGTCAAAATTCTGGAGATCATTTGTCGAGGCCCCGACTACAGGGACAATTAAACTCAAGAGCCCAGCATGCTCACTGGTGAGAGCAACGTCTGCGCGTGTGCTCGAGCCCCAGGGAGACGTCCCATGCGGGCGAGTAACACCTGCGCCGAAAGGAGAGCTCCCCTGGTGCAAACCATTCCTGCAGGTCGTGTTACGACATCAGTAGGACATTAAATAAAAATGTATATATTAGAAAAATGCTGTAGAAGCGCTTAGGGAGTAAGAGGTACTGAAGTTAACATGCCAGACAGGTATCAACACCCCAACCTTCCTGGGACAGGGACAGCCCTCTTGAGCGGCTTTCTCCTCCGGGGCCTCCACGCCAGCCTCAGGTCACACACTCGCACCTCCACGCGGCCACATGCAATGCTGCGACAGACACGCGGCTGGCTGTGCAGAGCACTGTGGCACAGGAAGCTCGCCTTTGTCCTAATTCCCAGAGAAGCACCGCGTCGGTGAGTCCTCGGAGGGATCTGGTGGCCTGGCTTGTCTGCCCAGGGAGAAGCCCTTGGTGGGGACGAATCAAGGTCGAGGAGGCTGCCAGGGGCCTCCCAGAGATGCCACCCAGCGCTCAGCTCTCACCCGACTCCCCAGCTGCTCTCCGCCAGCCTGCGGGCCCCTTGGCCCACGACCGGTGCACCTGACCTTTCTTCCCAACCCGTGCAGTCCGAGGTCACCTTGCTCAAGCCCTGTCCTGACTCCTGCCCTGGGGCCTGAGGCTCCGGCCAGGCCAGCGCTAAGCCTCCTCCGACTGCCCCGCGGGTCCTCCTGAGGCTGGCGGGCCTTGGCCTCACCATCCTCAAAGCACTCGGCTCCGGCCCCTCAAGCCCACGTTCCACGCAGACTGCCCCCTCGTGGCCCCAGCTTGTTCCTTCTCTGCAGCCCCACCTTCTTCTCCGGGCCTCGCCGCCCCGTCTCCTCCAGAACCTCGCTCCATCAGTGTCCTCTGCCGTCTCCCCCCACTTGCCTTCATCTCTCCTATCAGCCTGAGCACGGGCTCGTCTCGGTCACCTTCTGCGCGCCTGAGGCCTTCACGCTGCTCTTCCACCTCACGGTCCCAGGAGCCCAGGCCTCGGCCACACGCATAGCATCCACTTCCTACACCCGCACCCCCTGGTCAAGGTAAGCCTGGCGCGTGACGCTCGGCAAGATCACCCACGCCTCGCGGCGTCCAGCTCGACAGCTCGGTTTAGCGCTCTCTCCCATCCCCTCTGATCCACAGCACACCCTGCACCCTCCGCTCGCCGATTTCCAGCAGGCTCCGAGCGCTGGTGCTGACTTTGCCCCAGGGCCAGGCCCAGACCCGTCAGCTCTGGTCACCTCCGCGCCGCCTGCGCCTGCCCGGCCCCTCCCCTCGGCTCCTGCCCCCAAGGCCCCGCCCCTCACCGCGAGCTCCGCAAGGCCCGCCCCACCCCGCCCACCTCCCAAGTTCCTGCTCCGCGTGGTCAACTCCACGCAGCCCCTTGAGCCTTTCTGACACCGACGACCTCTCCCGGGCTTCACGCTTTGTGACCTTCAACCGACCGACCAGGGCCTGTAAAGGGCAGCCGAGCCCCAGCGTCCAGGAGGGCCGCCGCCTGGGGCGCTGCTCTCCAGGTGCATTTCCATCCGCTGTCATTTTACAGGGACAGGACCACGGCTCGGGTGCCTCGTCACCCACCCAGCTCAGTCACACACACAGAGCAGCACAGGGCCCGTAAGGCAGCTCCTCCCGCCCCGCAAAAGCAGATCGGATGCTGGATGTTTTCTGTGGTCCCGTTTTGACTTTCTTTTTTTTTTACCCTAGGAAGCGTCAGACGGCAGCACAAGGACAACAAACACCCTCCAAGAACTTACTGTTTCTTGGTCTCTTCAAATTTGTGCAGCTTTTTGCGGAGACCTCCTGACTTAAAGCCTTGGCAGTGTGCTGCTGGCGCTCCGATGGTGACAATGTCGTAGTTCTGATCTGAATGACAGAAAGCTCTCCTCCATTACTCTGGGCTCAGGCCTGTGGACGAGCCAGCTACAGGGATACGTGCACAACTCTGGGATCCCCCGCCAGCCCACTTCCAAGCAGCCTGTGGTTCCCTCAGTCGCACAGCCCGGGCTGCCCGAGGGCCTCTGGAGCCAAGCACCATCATCTCGGCTACGAGGGTCCTGTCTCAGGGGAGAGTCACACAGGGCAGAGGGCAACTACCCAGCGACTCAGCTTGCATCCCTCCTTCAGAAGGATGACCTGTGGGCAATTTTCTGCCACAGCAACACAAAGGGAAGCTGGAGGGAGGACAAACGAGGGGAAGGGGTCTGTGCTCTCCACAGAGGCCTTCCGGAGGCCCTTGGGCTGGGCCTTTGCCGAGCGCCCAGCAGCAGCACACACAGGGCAGGCTGGGGCAGATGTGGGGCAGCTCAGGGAGAAAAGAAGTGAGATGTGATCGAGCGAGACGGTTACCTGATCCTCCATCGTCCTGAACTCTCATCCTCTGTATGTGTAAGTTTGTGGGAACAAATTCTAACTTTTTATCTGCTTTCAAACTGCTTGCCTTGAACGAGGGACCTGAGGAATGGAATGTGAGAAAATAAAGATGGTCAGCCCGTATCCCCCATTCATGAACGGTGGGTGGAGAAGGGACAGTTTGAGGGTACTGCCGCGGGTATGCAGGTGTGTGTCAGCAGTGGCCTCAGAAACTCTGAGCTGCCCGTGAGCACACTTCCTTCCCAGACGATGGGGGTGGAACATTGAGGGAGAGCAGCTCCCGGCCAGAAGACTGGTTCGGGGTCCTAGGTGGTGAAAGGGGCCTGGGGGATCCACCCTCAGAGGCTCGGGAGCGACGCCGGGCCTTCCCATCGGCAGCTCTCAACCGACAGGTCTGACACAGGGACAGGATTCTGTGCAGCACGATGTCAGCACCACTATAAAAAGCAAGTGGGCCCGTGCCAGGAAGTGCCTGTTCCAACTGTAGAGCCTGCCGGCATCCAAGAGCTAAGAAACTGGTGTGACGGGAGCAACACTTCTCAATTCTGAAAAGTGATGAGAAGGTCTGCTCATCACCCCACGTCTATCAGATGAGCAAACGCTACACAGCCGCGATTCTGGCCTCCGGAAGACACGCTAACACGTCCCCTTGCACATCCTGGGGTGGGGCTCAGGAGTTTGGACCATGTTTTCTACCAAATATTCACAATCTTATTTCTATAATTAGAATACTTAACTAATTAAGTAAAGAACTACTTGCCTAGAAAAAGAGACTATAAATTACACTAATGATCAGGAGAAATAAACATTCCACCTGGTGAAAAAAGACAACTTTATTTTGCCAGTATGCAAAACGCAGACCAGCCACTGTCCGCTTTGCACTTTGCCACGGGAGATGGTTCTCTAGCTACTGACGGGGTAGCCCACGGACCCCCGGCACTGGCATCCTGGGAGCCTGTTATAAATGCAGAATCCCAGATCTGCTGTTCACGAGACTCTCTGGAGACTTAGAAGCACACTGACATCTCAGAAGCTCTGCTCTAGAAGAATCATGGTGGGGGCGTTTCAGACTTTCCCAGGTAACAAGCATCCAGCCCGGGCAGGTCCCTAAGTCCCTTCAGACAAACACGGCCATTTGTCTTAGAAATACACTTAGATCTGCTCTTCAGATTCAAAGCAAACCCCGGGCACCATCATCTTGTCATCACTCCTGTAAACCTGGCTGCTTCCCAGCCAAGTTTAGGGACTGGTTCCTCTGTGCTGTCCCCACATTAAGGGGTTACGATTTTCTTTAAAAGCTGAAATTCTATTATAAAGAGGGGAAGGAGGGAAGAATCTGAAGAGAATAAAGTAATAGAAAACCAAAAAAGTCACTCCATTTGGAACCAAGCGGGAATGAGTTAAAGCATAGTCTTCTAAACCTACCCTGAAAATGTTTTGAAAATCAAGTGGCATCTTTCAAGAAGAAAAGATGTGTCTATATTTCACGTTCACTTTTGAGGCTTAAAATGGAGAGCTCCACTCAGACAATTCATATGTAAATATAAGGACCGCTAAACAGTTACACCGGGAGATCTAGAAAACCCTGCCTTGCTTTGTCTCAAGGCAAACAGCCTGCATCCTTTTGGCCATTCCACTGATGCTAGACCAAGATGAAGAAATAAAATGAACCAACAGCCTGTGACTTTGTCTCTCCTGAATTTCATCCTACAGCGGTTGTTTTGGCAGATGACACCATGGAAGGAACTTTCGATGCAATTCACACATTTGTCTTCTCAATTAAGATCTGAAAACTCCATATTTGAGAGAACTCACACCTACATGAGAATCTATTTTTAAAAATCCATTAGAGTGTCTGTCAGTGGGAATATGGAAGTGACCCTAGGTTCCAGATTTCCAGCTGGGAAAATGAGAGCGGGTGAGCCATGGTGGGGTTGAGAGCGGGCACCCACCTTTGTACTGATGGAGGTCGGTCAGGTTCTCCTGGTACGTGAGGATGATGGTCTGGTACTGAGTGACGATCTGGCGCCGGAGGCTCTCCCAGCAAGGGGACAGTTCCCCCAGCTCCTCCAGTTCACACACTCTGCAAGCAAGACACACCCATCAGGCCATGGCGCCGGCTCCCTCCCAGCAGAGGCTCAGGAGTCCTGACCAGCCAGGAGGGCAGATGGATGTGGACGCGTCATGCCCAGGGGAGGCCCTGCGAGTCTGGAGGGGCAGCAGCAGGGCAGGACAGCAGACAGCTCCAAGAGCGGCTGTAAAAAAGGCAGACCACTGACCACGTGGAAACTGCACAGACAGGCTTTTCATAGGAACTCAGTCAAATGTTCAGGGAAAACTAAGAGAAGGAGTGAAGAGGGGAGTGGCTCCACCAGGCACCAGGCACCCTGGCGACCTTGCATGTGTCCAGAGGCCACAGGGGCGTGAAGGCTTGAACTGCAGCCTGAGTCTGACCCTACTGGAGCACAGGAGGATTGGAGCCTGAGGGCAACTGCTACAGGCTCTCCCCACCCCTCCATCCCCCCTACCCGGGGCTGTCACTGCCTCCTGGATTCTGGGAGGCGGGGCTTTCTGCCCTCACCAGAGCAGAGCTGCAGAATATAAAGCTGTCCCGCGAGCCGGGCTGCTCAGCAACGGGGGTCCCATGGCTCCTGCTGTGGCCACCAGGCCCCTTTTGTTTCACTGTCATCCTATTCGGGTCCGGGACAAGGACCCTGGGAAGATGGCAGCTTTAGCTATCGTTCCCTTTATTACCTGTGTAAATAATGAACTGTCTAGATCTAAAAGTGCATAGAGAAGAAGCCAAGGGAAAAAAAGAATTTGTTATATCCACAAAAATGAAAGCAAAGCTGTTTAAGAACTGAAATATAAACTTCTTAGCTCAGCAGGAAATAAGAGCTACATAATCAGAATAATGAACACAAAAAAATGGATTCAAAAAAAAGGATAACCATTTTAGGAAATTTAGGAAACTAGGGGGGAAAGTATAAAAGACCCAAAATCCTCTTCACAGGAAATCAGCAGTTAATCTCTGAAGTTGATTCATCAAGAGAGCACTCTATACATAAATCGAGAAATACAGCAGAAAACACTAAAACGGCTAAAAGTGGTTGTTTCTTGGGAAGGAGATCAGAAAGTTGAGCATCCCAAGACTTACGCTTTTCGTTAAAAACCTTTTTGCGCTCTTTGGCTTTTTATACTACGCACATTTTCCTCTAAGGGGGGGAAAAAGCTAAGTTTATAGAAGTGTTTAGGAATCTACTAAATTTTCTAAAGTTAAAAAAAAATTTTAAAGCCGTGCCATTTTATTATTATTATTATTACTAATCAACGAGGTTAACGTAAAAGAACCCTCGGCACAGGCAAGGCTGGGTGGGACCGATGTCCCCGTGGGTTGCCGGCTGAGTGGCCCCGCTCGCCTTGGGTCTGCCACCGAGCCTGTCTGCCTCAGCCACTGCGGGCCCTTCTCTCTCCGTGTCTCTGCCCGTGCGTCACGTGGCTCCTCCTTGTGCTTCGGGTGTCAGCTTAGTGTCACCGTCTCTCAGAGGCCTGCCCCGGCCACCCTCCTCCTTCTCACAGCCCCTTTTAAGTTCTGCACACCAGTGACCCGTCTGGGCCCCATGTGGCCCAAGTTCTGTTACTGATTGTCTCCTACGGTCCATCTCACTCATCAAGACCCCCGCCTCCCCACCACAGTGAGCAGAACACTGGCCACGTGGTGGGTGTGGGAAACAACAAAACCCTCCAAACCGACACAATGAATGAATGAACTCTTCCGAGTTACAGTGCACCAAACAGTGGGAAATTATGCGTAACTAAAAATTTAGTGAAACTGAAGATATGTAGAAAAGTAGATGGTAGCTACGTAAATATATTACAAATATGGAAAAGTTGAAAGGAAGTTTTAAAAAATTAACTCTATAAAATATACACAGGGCTTCCCCGGTGGCGCAGTGGTTAAGAATCCGCCTGCCAACACAGAGGACACGGGTTCAAGCCCTGGTCCGGGAAGATCCCACGTGTCGTGGAGCAACTAAGCCCGTGCGCCACAACTACTGAGCCCGTGAGCCACAACTACTGAGCCTGCGCTCTAGAGCCCACGTGCCACAACTACTGAAGCCCGCACACCTAGAGCACGGAGAACAACAAGAGAAGCCACCGCAACGAGAAGCCTGCACACTGCAACGAAAAGAAGTCCCCCACTCGCCACAACTAGAGAAAGCCCGCGCACAGCAACAAAAACCCAACACAGCCAAAAATAAATAAAATAAATTCATCTAAAAAAATAAAAAATAAATAAAATATACACACATGGGGGATAAAGCAGCTCATTGCATTATTCTTCCCCTTTTTCTCTAAGTTCAAATTTTTTTTCAAGATAGAAAAATTAAAACAAAATAGCTGTATTAAAACAGTAGGATCTGGCTGCACTGTTTTCCTTCACGCAGCTGCTGTGTTGCATCTACGATTAACACTGCTCGATGGCAAGGAGCAGAGATGACTCTTAGGCGGACGGGAGACGTACTCTGCAGTGCCCGGACCTCCCCGCAGGCTGCTCCCCGCCTCAGGACCAGTGAAGCAGGCCCCGGGCCGAGAGACACAGAGGATCAGTGTCCTGATGGGTCATCCTTAGCCCTCTGGAGCCCGGACCGTAGGAAACCGTGACCCAGGCAGCCGCAACCAGAGAGGGACCAGCTAGTCTAACTTTCTCAAGGTCGGAGGGGAGGCGAGGGGAGGGGAACCCGTGCTCAGCAGGGGCACAGCTGGCGTGTCGGGCACGCTGTCTCGTGACGTCCTCGCGCAGAAACCCCGGGACACAGATGAGCAAACTGAGTCCAGGCCGCGCAGCAGGCAGGCGGCGGACGCCGGGCGTGCGGGCCATGTGAGGCCAGTGCTCACCCACCCCGTCCACGGGCCTTCCAGACGGGAGGGGCAGATGACAGGGGGCCTCACCTGGCCGCGTCCTCCTCCAGCAGGAGCTTCACGAACTGCCGGGGCACGTGCAGGGACAGCACGCTCTCTGCCATCTGCTCCAGGATCCGCAGGTGGTTGCCCTCGGTGGTCGGGAACCGGTACATGCGGCAGACGGCACCGCCAAACACTGAGGCGGGAGGGCGAAGGGCCGCAGTGAGCAGGCGCAGGCCGCCGCGGGGCCCCCTCCCCGCCGGCCCCCGGGTCTCCTTCCTGCTCATCTCCAGGGAGTTAAAACACTTAAACCCACACCCACAGAGTGACCGAGCCCGACACCATCGAGACAGAGCAAAAGGAAGCAGGAGCCTCCTCCCCGGAGGGTCACGAGGTCCCGACACGCTGCCACAAAGGACGGCACGCTGATGTGCAGAGAGAGGTGACGATGGGCGTGCACAGCCGTGACAATCAGAGCGGGTGGGGAAGCAGACCACGAACCCGCGTGGACACTCACGAGTGGCAAGGGTACCGACAGAGGAAGCTGCTTACCCGATTTCAGTAAAGTGTCTTTTCGCAACGAAGCGTATTTGGATCGGATTCCCAAGGCCTCGGTCAAGCTCTCGTCAACAGGCAGAACCATCTAAAAACACGTACGGAAAAGCATGAGGAAACTGTGACTGACTCCAGAGCACATCATGTCATAAAAGAACCCTTGAAACTAACATCCACCAACAACTCTACGAGGAACGCACAGCCAGACAAGTGAGGCCCCCTCCCAGGACGCTGAACATACTCCGCCCACACAGCTTTCTAGAAATGCACAACTTTCGAAGTCACTTCCCCTTGTCTTTGAGTGTTCTGACGTGTAGGATGAAAGGGCAGTGGTAGACGAGGCCCACGAGTATTTCCACAGCTGACGTTCAGGTTCATTTGGGGTAAAATGAGAGATCTCTGTATTTTACAATGACTGCCAGCGTTTGGGCTCTGAAATTAGAACTGTCGTTTGAGAGTGTCTGGGTGAGCGGCTATGCATCAGAGAGGGTGACACGGTTGGTGGGGGTGGGGGGGGGGCGGGCACAGGTGTGAGACGGGGCCCAGGCGACTGCGAGGCAGAGGAGTGTCTGGGAGAGGAAGACCGTGACCAGCCCTCAGGGTGACCTGGGTCTCACTCCACACCCACGAGCCACCTCTGCCCTCTGCACTCTGGAGGGACGCCGGCGTGGCCTGGGGCAGGGGCAGGGGCCCGCTTCTCTCTACGTGGAGAAGTACCTGGGGGGACTGGCGCGCCCGGCAGAGCCCGGCCTTCCCCTCCCCACAGCTCACTGGCAAAGTGCGTCGGGACAGTCCTCGACTCCTCACGGAGAGGAGCAGAGTGGTGTGCTCACCCTCCCGTTGACGGTGTCCAGAGACCGGGTCACGGGGGGCCGCTGGTCTGACTTCTCCTCCATCTGCCAGCCCATCACGGTGATGTTGCCCACGCGGTCGCTCTCCGCAGACCTGCAACCGGCAACGCGCTTCGGTAAATAGCGCCGTGACTGCGCTTCGTTTTCTGCTTCAACACAAAGCACAGCTTCCTGGATGGTCAAGGGGTCCTGGGGGTGCCAGGATGGGGCCAGCTGGTGGGTCAGGCAGCAGTTACCGTGTGCACAGGCTCCGGGGGAGGCAGGCGAGGAGATGGGGGCACAGAAGAGGGCTGTGTCTGAGAGGAGACGATGCCCCAGAGATGGGTGGCGTGCCCGGTGAAGCGGGGGTCAGGGGTAGCCAATGCCCGCTCGGGAGGCTGGCGCCCATCAGCCCTGGGCTGACCCCGCCCCGGAGAGTGATGCGGACACACCTTGCAATCGGGACTGGAGAGCACCTTCTTCTGGCACTAGACCCCTTTTCTACTCGTTCCCACCCCACCCTCAAGCTCTGATTAGCCTCAAGGCCTAGGCCGGGACCCCAAGTGAGCTGAGGTCACCCAGGATTGCCCAAAGCCTCTGAATCCTTCATGGTATGGCTGACACCACTCTCGCCCTGGTCCGCTTTACCGCTAAGACCCCTCAGGGTGGCTGCTGGCTGCCTGGGCCCATCTGATTCATCCAGGGAAGCCCCAGTGAGTCCTTGATTCATTCAGAGATACCTGAAGCCTCTGGCTTTTTTATCTAAGCTGTGGGGCTTAGCCAGGTTCTACATTTTTATGTGGTCACATGCATCCACTGACCATTTCCTCTGACTCACTCTCACGGTTCTCGTGCCTGGAAGAGTCCCTTCCCAGGCTCTCTGTTCGACGGTCATCTCTAGCTCCTTTTAAAAAGGATGATGGGGCTTCCCTGGTGGCGCAGTGGTTAAGAATCCGCCTGCCAGTGCGGGGGACACAGGTTCGATCCCTGGTCCGGGAAGATCCCACATGCCGCAGAGCAACTGAGCCCGTGCGTTACAACTACTGAGCCTGCGTTCTACAACCTGCAAGCCACAACTACTGAGCCCACGTGCCACAGCTGCTGAAGCCCGAGTGCCTAGAGCCCGTGCTCCGCAACAAGAGAAGCCACCACAATGAGAAGCCCGCTTGCCGCAACCAGAGGAAAGCCCGTGCGCAGCAACAAAGACCCAACGCAGCCAAAAACTAAAAAATAAAAAGTGCAGGCTCTGGAATCAGACTGCCTGGATTTGTACGTGGGCTCTGATAGTTCTCAGCTGGATAACACTGAGCAAGTTAATTAACCTCTCTGGACCTCAGGTTCCTAATATCTCCTCCTAGGGTTGTAGTATTAGGCGAGGTCATACAGGAGAGCACACAGTAAGAGCTTAATAAATGACTATAAAATGTACATGTATAAAAATTTAAAAATAAATAAATAAAAAGGATGATGCCCACGTCTTACATTTAACCCTAATCCAACTAGAATCATCTCTGGCGTATGATGTACCTGGGTGTTCTTCTCTAACGGCCCCTCCCCCATGCGACCCTGATTTTTCTCCCCGAGACCCCTTCCTCGTCCTGAGTCAAGCTCTCCACATACACAGCAGGGTGAGCCCTGCCCAACGCCTTCAACTCTGTCATCTCCGTATCTTCAAAATGTCACACTACTAGCAGGGAATTCATCTTCTGTGTCAAAATCTTCTTTGCTATTTGGGACTATTTCCCCAATTTTTACATTATTTTGAAAAAAAAAAAAAAAAAAAGAACACTATGTCAGGGTGGGAACTGCCCCTAAAATGAATCTGGGAAGGACCGACACCTTGACCCCAACATAGTGGGGTCCCCCCCGCCGCGCCTCCCTCCCCACATTCCTTCCTTCCACAAATATTTATTGAGCAGCAGGCACTGTTCTAGGTCTTGGGATACGAGCAAAACCATGGAACATCCCTGCCCTCTGGGAGATCCTATTAGGGAGGGGACAGATAACAGCAAAGTATGTTTGGTATTATTAGATGCATACCTAGGTTTTCCTTTGGGTCTGCATACTTCCTATGAACACACATTTCCATTCCGTGACAGGCCCTCTGACAGGCTTTTTTTCTCTCTCCTCAATGACAACCAAGTCCCTGCCCAGAGTCTGGCCTCTGGGGACACGGTGCTCTCCCAGTATAGGAAGTAGGGCCTTTCCCCATCTGTCCCTGGACCTCATAATTCCAGATCCTTGCAAAGGGACAAAATTTAATACCAACCTTAGTGTTAAATACAACCTATGACGCCTGTCCTGGAGCAGATCTTTGACGACAAATGTTCCAGAGCCCAGCAAGTACATCTGAGGAAGAGAGGGAGACAGCATTAGTGCACCTGCTTTGCCTCTGCTCCAACTGCCAGACCCTGGGGAGTCCAGCTGGCTGGTTCTCTCAACACATCTGACCTCATCTCAGTAGCCCAATGGGGAGGCTCATAGAGACGTTCCCAAAGACAAGTACATTTGGACATGAATTTGTGAGCCAGAAGTGAAGTCAATCTCGTGTTCACCTCTCAAACGATTACAGAACTTTAAAAAAAGGGAAGAATATCCCACGAACCACAACATGGTACTTAACTGTTCCCTGAGATCTATCCTTGACATCATACACGGAGAGCTTGATCTGTGTCATCTGATTGATGAGAGAGTCTTGAAAGAAGGCAATACTGCTTAGAAATATAGGATCGTTGGTTCCCTAGAATAGAACAAAAACAAAAAAAGAATCAGAATACAGAGTTGGATTTTTTGAACTGGTTGCTTCTGAAACACACCAACATTCTCAGAAGGAGAAACTAACGTTCTTACCAACTTGGATCAACACAAGTGCGAATGGGGCTTACATGGATGCATATAACCAAAACACTGTTTTCCAAAAAGGACAAAGTTTTCTGGGCCCAGATACAACAAACAGACCACCACACAAGCTGGGCCCACGGGCTCATTCTAAGGGTTCCTCCCTCAGTGGGAAGGATTTTCTAAAACTGAGTTGAATGTCCACATGTATTCTTAGTCTTACAACTTCACTTGAGTTATGCATTTGGATCTACTACTGTGGGTGATTCCTTTAAGATGTACAAAGGCAGATGGAAGAGGATATGAATGGCCAGAGCTGGTTATTTCCAGAATCCTGGGTTTGGAATAATTACGGTCCGGCTTTCTTAGGGCTATCCTTTTCTGAGGACTAGCTGCTAGTGTCTCAATCGTAGGTAGCTACTTCCTGGCAGCCCGGCCTTGCCCCGCAAAGCGCCGTTACATCAGACTCTCTTCCTCAGGCGGTGGTTAGCGATCTCAGCCAGTTAGCGGCTCCTGTCTGTACCTGCAGCTCCAGCTCCAATGTCTCAGCGCCTGCTGGACAGTGCCCGCCCCAGGTGTCCTGCTGGGGCCGCAGCCCCACCCAACCTGTCCCTCCATCCGCTGGTTCGGACCCTCTCTGACTCTCTGGCCAAGGAGGCTGCAGACCCAGGCACCTGCTTTGGTGCCTTCTCCTTTGTTCTCAACCACCCAGCGTCGATGCACCCCCGCCAGTTCCCCCTCCAGAGCCTCCCTCTCGTGCCCCCTTCTTTCCACTCCTCCCTGCTGCCAGCCGGGCCCCACAGCACTGTCACTCCCCCAGCGACCTCCGACCCGGGGCCTCCCTGAAACACACCTGCGGACAAGGCTGCCCCGCCCGGCTAGACCCCCGCTTCCCTGCACTCCTGCTCTGCCTCTGCACACACTGGACAGGATCAAGTTACTCTCCAAACCCACACAACGAGCTGGATGGGACCTCGTCCTCCGGGTACCGTCCTCGTCTCTCTGCTCTAACAGAGACCACACTCTGCTCTGTCTGCATGAGCCACGTTCATTTCCGCCTCCTCACCCACAGGACGGTAGACTCCTTGAGGGCAGGGGCGGGGCCTCAAGGGTCTTTGCATCACCCACAGCACCCAGCACTAGGCTTCATACGTAGGCAGTGCTCGACAAATGCCGAGAAAACAGAATTGTTGGCCTGAACTTGGAAATACATTTCTAAGAGAATGAAAAAGTGTCTTGTCTTCCAAAATGTGAAACTGGGAGAGAAGGGGAAATGCAATTTGTTTGGTGGAGAGTGCCAGGGAGGAGATACTTCACACCTAGAGGCTCACGTCACCAACAAAATCCAACAGGAGCTCACACCAGCCAACTCCTACACTTAGTTTCATAACTTACATGATGTGCTCAATTATCGGAAGAAATTTTGTAAACTTCCCCAGGCGAACGCAGATCATTTCATTTAACGTAAAAAGTAAACACATAGCACGCATCTCAAAAGAATATAAAAATAAAAACCAATAAAAATAAAGGTATGCCTAGTAAGAGGGTTGGTTAAGGGTTAACGCTCTCCAAACTCTGATTAATGAGCACGACTGTCCACAAGTAGCAGCCAACTGGAGGTGACAAGGAAGAATCGGGTCTTACCTCTTAAAAGGCAATCAACCTTAGGAGACCCACTGTTCAAAAACAGCCTGCCAACAATCAATAATAACTGTAAAGGATATGGCGAATATAAATGCCACCCGCGTGAGTACGTGTGATGCAAGATACCAATGTAGCTGCAGCTACAGGTGCTCAGGCCACTGAACAGCCCTCCCACCGGGATCAGAAACACTGTCACGGAGCCGCCGGAGGCCAGGGGCCAGCAGCACCCACCTCAATGATCTCCGTCTGCGCGTGTTTCGTCCAGAACGCCTGGGGTGGGGTGGTCACACTCACTGCTACAAAGCTATTTGGTTTTCGATCTAGCGACGGCGTATGCAGCTCACTGCAAGCTACAGAATTAAGACAACAGAAGTAAAATAAATAAAATAAAATAAAAATAAAATAGAAGTGAATCTTTAAAATCAGGCTCTAGTTAGTTCTCTGTTCCAAATGCACCCAAAGAAAGAGAAGTAAATGCACTCAAAGGGATGAGATGATCACAGTGTCAGTTGTCACAGGGAGGTGATTTTTCAGATTAGAAGCAATCCCTTCTCATTCCTCCCCGCCTTCCCCAGCCCCCAGGACAGCTATGCAGGCACTGCCAATGGAAGGCTCTCTATGTCCACGGAATGGATGACATAGGAAGGGTCTGACCCATAAAGTCTGACCTTAATAACTAATTGGAGCTAGGCAGCCACAGAGTTGATGAAATCAAGACCCAGCTACACACACTCACATCCAGGACTTCCGCAGCCATAGCTTATGGTGTCCCCAGATCTGTGTGTGATGTATGTTGGAAGCAAATTAAAATTCTATGGCAAAATAAACAAAGCTTTTTTTTTTTAAGGAAGTCATTGCTCATTTATTCTCCTTATAAGACATATCAAATGTAAGATTACTAAACATGTGACTTTTCAGAACAAAAGGTGCCCTGTAGAACTGTTTCAGTTAGAAAATGTACTAAGCATTTTGAAAGACTCAGATAACTCTATCATAGAAGGGACCCACAGAAGAAATGATCATACGTCTTTGAATCTAACATGCTGTCTGTTGTAAAATGCATTATAAGAGAAAAAAAAAAGGCCCACTGCCATTAGTCTATGATATGACACTGATTGTAAGACACTTTCTGATTAAAGATATACTAAAAGATGAAAAAATACCCACATTGTAACTGATGAAACATATGGTAAATCACCCAACACTCATAAAAAGAACTGGCTTTTCTGGAGGGGCACTGAACATGCCCCACAGTGTTGCAAGCCTTTGGTTAATTCCCAGAGTTTGGAAACAATTGATTTTTTTAAAAAAATTTATAATTTTTATACAATTTCTAAAGGTTACTTTCCATTTACACTTATTACAAAATATTGGCTATGTTTCCCGTGTTGTACTATACACCCTTGAGCCTATCTTACACCCAGTCGTTTGTACCTTCTACTCCCCCCACCCCTGTATTGCCCCTTCCAGCTCTCCCTACTGGTAACCACCAGTTTGTTCTCTATATCTGTAAGTCTACTTCTTTTTTGTTATATTCGCTAGTTTGTTGTATTTTTTAGATCCCACATATAAGTGATATCATACAGTATTTGTCTTTCTCTGTCTGACTTATTTCACTTAGCATAATGCCCTCCAAGTCCATCCATGTTGCTGCAAAAGACAAAATTTCATCCTTTTTTATGGCTGAGTAATATTCCATTGTATCTGTGTATATACCACATCTTCTTTATCCATTCATCTGTTGATGGGCACTTGGGTTGTTTCAATATCTTGACAATTGAAACAATTGATTTTGACCATCTTTTCACTGTCTTTATGAAGGAGAGGATTTTTAGAGGTCTTTATTCCTGCTCTCATCATTCTCATTGATTTTTAAAATGCTCACTGGTGATTTAAAATTCAGAAACTGATTTTTACTTCTGCAAATTAATTTACTTCTGAAAATTAATCTCTTTGTATTATCTTCTCATACATCTTCATGGATTTTCATTACTTATTGGAATATAATAAAATACAAAGACCTTGGGTTTTCAGTTCAATGAGTTTTGACAATCATATACACCCATGTAACCCTCATCAAAACAAGATACCTTTTCCCATCAGAGAAAGTTCCCCCCATACTTCCCCTACTTCTGCAACCACTTTCTGATTTTTATCACTTTTGTCCATTCTTGAATTTCACATAAATGGAACATTTTTAAGATCCCTCTGTATTGTTTATATACCAATAATTCATTCTTCTTTTTAAAAATTGATGAATTATATTCCATTGTATGAATGTACCAACATTTACTTATCAGTCCCGCTATTAGTAGACATTCGGGTTGTTTCCAGTTTGGAACTATTATAAATAAAGGTGCTATAAACATTCTTACATCTTTTTGTGAACATGTTTTCTTTCCTTTGCCTAAGTACCTAGGAGTGGAATTTCTAGCTTATAGTAGAGGACACACTTAGTTTTGTAAGAAGCTGACAGTTTTCTAAAGTGGCTGTATCATTTTACAATCCCATCAGCAATTTACATGAGTTCCAGTTGCTCTGCATCTCACCAACAGTTGGTGGGGCTCGTCTTTATTTTAGTTGTTCTAATGGACGTGTTTTAATTTGCACTTCTGTGATGACTCATGATGTTAAGCATCTTTTCACCATGTGTTTATTGTTCATTGTTATAACTTCTTTTGTCAACAGTCTGCTCAAGTCTTTTGCTCATTTTTAAATTGAGTTGATTTTTTTTTTAACTGTCTATTTGTAAGCATTTTATTCTGGATCTGTCCTTTGTCAGGTATATGTGTTGTGAATTTTTTTTTCCCAGTCTGTGGTTTATTTATTCACTTGTTTAAAGATTTCTACAGTTTTTTTTTGATGTTAGATTTTTAATTTTAGAGAACAGCAGGCAGAAAAATGTCCCTCCCCCTAAAAAGTATCCACGTTCTAATCCCGGGAACCTGTGAATATATGATAATAATAGGCAAAAGAAGACTTCACAGATGTGATTAAGGTCATGGAATCTTGACATGAAAAGATTATTCTGGATTATCTGGGTGGGCTTAGTCTAATCACATGAGCTCTTAAAAGTACAAGTGGAAGGTGGAAGGGTGAGTTAGAAAGATGTGACAATAAAAAAAAGAGAGACAGGAGAGATTCTCAGCATGAAAGGCACTCAACCTGCCATTGCTGACTTCGAAGATGGAGGAAGGGGCCACAGCCACAGAATGTGAGTGGCCCTTGTAAGTTGAGAACAGGCCTCAACCTGGTAGCTAGCAAAGAAATGGGGACCTCAGTCCTAAAACCACAAGTAACTCATTCTGCCAACAACTTGAATGAACAAGGAAACACATTCTCCCCTAGAGCCCCCAGAAAGGACCGCATCCATGCTGAAGCTTTCATTTTGGTGTTATAAGATTCTAAGCAGAGACCCAGCTGAGCCCTCTGGGTTTCTGACCTAAGGGAACTGTAAGATAATACATTTGCGTTGTTTTAAGGTGCTATGTTATGGTCATTTGTTATGGTAGCAAACTAAAACACAGAGTTAGTACTTTCTGCCAAGAAAGCTCTGCCTACCCTCAAGTTGTGGTTGTGAGTTATTTATTTTCTTCCAGAAGCCTTAAGGTTTTATTATTTTCTAAAAATTCTATTCTCTTTCTTCTATGTCTGCCTCAACAGAAATCAGGGATTTGACTGTTCCATTTGCTCTCCCTCCTTTAAGCTACCCCCATCGGTGACCCTGGTCTGGTCTCTCTCAGCCTGCCCTCTCATCACGCAAGGTTAGAACATCCGAGTCTCTCAAGCGCAAGTGATGGCAGGTAGGTGGAGACACAGCAGGTGGCCCAAGGCTGGAAAGACTGATTAACAGCTTGAGGGCGGATGGGCCAACTGCCACCGTCAGAACACACCTCCCCAAGGGTGACATTCTCTCCTGGCCTCGTCCCCACCCAGCCTGTCTAAATCTCACGCAAGGTTTAATTCCTAGCTCAGTTCCACGGCTTCCGTGAAGCTTTCTCTCTGCAGCCCACAGTCACGTCTCCTTCCGTTTATCACTTACACGTCACTCCTCTGGCATATTTCCATAGAAACCATTAATCTCTGATATGTGGGTCTTGTCTCTCCAACCAGAGCATCTGTAGTCCCAGCTGAATAAATGCTATTGACGTAAACCGGTAAAACATATTTCGAGTGCATACCATCTGACTCAGCAATTCTATATCCAAGAGTTTATGAAAGATCCACGTACAAGTACGTTAACTGTGCTGGTGTGTTTGCAATGGCATATTGGAAAGACCTAGATGTCCAGCAACAGGAGACTGGTTAAAATAAATACGGCACAGCCATACAACAGATTATTCTATGTAGGCATCTAAAATGATGAGGTGGCAGATCCACGTTTATTAAAATGAAAAGATGCCAGTGATATTTCGCTACGTGAAAAAAAAATCATGTTAAGAACACTAGGATGACATTTTTGTAAATAATTCCATCACCTCCACAACTAAAAATCATCAAAAATTTCTGTATAGCCCTGTGTGGGTGTAAAAAAATATCTGGAAGGATATATACCAAAATGCCAACTGTGATTCTCTCTCTCTGATAGGGTTTACATTTTCTCTATCAAAGGTTTTTTTTTTTTTTTTTTTTTATCAAAGGTTTTTAAATGAGTACTTTTTAATTTTAAACTTCTATTTTTAAGATAAAATATTTGACCATTCAATTATCTGACTCCTACTCATCTCTTTTTTTTAATTGTGGCAAAATTCATTTAACATAAAATTCACCCTCACTTTTTTAAGCTGTTTCTTCCTCCATCTGTCTCATTAATATGACTACATTACCGCCCTTGACTTGCCAGATTCAGAAATGTTCTGATTTCTAGATTTCTATTATAGCGGTGAAGATTTTTAACTTAATTATATCAACTCCCATTCTCTCTCTAAACTCAGTTTAGCTCAACTTTTTTGTTACATCCATGTTCTGCATTATTAAAGCTAAGCGAATACTATTCATTATGGGATTTCTTTTACTTCTCTCCTGTGTTGGACTGTGTTTCCTGGATCTTCTTTTTTCTCAGTTTATTCCTTCTTTTCAGTGGAGCACATCCTCCACTAACTTCCAGAGAAAGGATGTGGGGAAAGTAAATTTAGTTGAGACTCTGTATCATGAAACAAATGTCTTCCTACCTTCACACTGATCGATAATCTGGTTGAGCAGAGAACTGCGGGTTGGAGATATTTCTCCACTCATATTAACGATGTGGCCCCACTGTCTTCAAGCTTCCAATGTCCCCAAGAATCTCCAGGCCAGTTCCATCCCCTGGAGAGGACCAGTTGGTTTTCTCCTCTCTGGAAGTTTTTAGGATCTTCATTTTATTCCCAGTGCTCTGAAATTTCAGCGTGACGTGCCTTATGTGCTCTGCGGTTCTGAGAGGCGCTTGTATTATTTCTTGTTAACTTCCTCCCTTACCTTCTTTCCTATTTTCTCTTCTAAATGTTGAGCCTCCTGAATTTGCTAATTTTCCACTTCCCTCCCATTCTCTAGTTTGCTCTTAAATTTTTACTTTCTGGGATAATTCCTCAAATATCTCCAACCTTTATTGAATTTTAAAATGCTCTGTTATATTTTAAATTTCTCAGACTGTACATGCTCTTCTGTTGTTGTTTTTCTTCATAGTTTCCTGGGTTTTTTTTATGGATACACCATCTTCTCTTGAGGACACACATTATAATTTCTTCGACGTTTTCTTCTTTCTTCAATGTCTCTGTTTCTTCCAAGTTCTACTTTTTTCTGTCTTTCATGTTGTGGGCCTTCCACAAAGGTCTAGTGATCTACGCTTTCATTTTGTTTTAAATCACCTCTGAGGTATAATTTGTATGCAAAACGCACCCATTTTAAGTACAGCACTCAGTGAGTTTTGATCAGCATACACACCCATAGACCCACCACCACTGTCCAGACACAGAGCATCTCCATCACCCCAAAGGGCTCCCTGTGCCCCTTTCCAGTCGGTCCTCACTCCCAGATAACCATTAGACTGTTTTCTCTCACTACAGATTCATCCTTCTGAGTTTCACATAAATGGAATTACACAACACACGGCCTCTTATTACGGCTTCTTTCACTTTGCACAGTGCTTTTGAGATGCACCCATGGCGTGTGTGTACCAGTGATAGGTCCTTTTCCCTGCTGAGCGGCTGTCTGTTGTATGCATGTAACATAGTTAATCTTCCTGCTGATGGACGTTGTTTCCAGTGCTGGATATTACAAATAAAGCTGCAGTCAACATGCATGCACCAATCTCTGCGAGCACAAATAAAAGTCCATTTGTTTCTAAGTATGTGGTATCAGGAGGCTGAGGTGTATGGTGGGCTCCGCGACAGTGAATGGGGGGGGCCGGCCGGCCTACTGTGGCTGGGTTCCAGGCCAGCATCTCTGTGTCTCTTTGGGGGTGGTGGCGAGTGGGTGGTTTACCTTCTCCAGAGACAGCCTCCATCCTGGAGGAATAAGCCCAACAGAATTAGGACGAGAGGAAGAAGGGTAGGGAGGGTGAGGTGGGCGCGTGCCACTCGGCAGACTTCCACGGACAAGGGGAGAGGGACACTAAAGAGTGTCGGGCCTTGGAGCAGAACCTTCTGCGATGAGCCACACTGCCCGACCCCGGAGCCAGTACAGCCCACGGCAGTGGTTGGCACACTCTCTCATCTGATGCTCGTGAGAGGGACAGCATCAGGGGTCAGCTCCTCCGTGCGTGGAGCTGGGATCCGAGGGCTAGAGAGCTAAATGCAACCCCACAGGGCCTTGTGGTGGCGGGCGGACAACGCTGGCCCTAAGCCCCGTGTCCTCCCGCGGGTAGGAGAGGGGAGGGGAGGCTGTCTTTGCGGCTCTGCGTGGGCTTACCTCCCGCCCCTCCCCACTGCCAGCCGGCAGGGGGCACTTGCTGAGGAGACACGAGCCCCGCAGGCAGGCAGGCAGCCCCCCGAGGTTCCCTCCCACCCACAGGAGGTTCCCACCAGCCTCGGAGCTTCGTGTCCTCAGAAGCACTTGAGCAGCAGCGGTGGCAGCAGCAAGATCTCTGAGACAGACTCCTGCCAGTCGTGGAGTGTTTGTTTTTGTTTTTAAGCAACGTCTATTTTAAGACAAGAAAGTTTAAAAGACACCTACCTAAGCTGAATTCTAAAATGGGCTCGTCTGGATCCTGTATACTTCCTGGATAAAAAAGAAATGACAGAAAAAAAAATCACCCTTAAGAAACTTTTCCCCGCTTTCAGATTGGATGCAAAAAACTCGACACACTGGTGGCAATCATTTCACAACATGTATAAATTAAACCATCAAGCTGTACATCTTAAACTTACAGTGATATATGTCCATTACTTCTCAATAAAACTGGGAAGAAAAACCCAACGCTCTGCTTTCTTTTCCCTCACAAACTGTTATATGAGATGATTTCTTTGTTTTCTAAACATTTTATTTTGAGATTCCTAAGAAGTCTCTGACCCCGAGACCAAACCCCCTCCCACTTGCGTCTGTACACTCACAACACAAAGGGCTTTTATTATGGTCTGGGCACTTGCCAGACAGGCACTGTGGACATTCCCACGTTATCTATTGGCAAATGAGTCCTGGAGGTGCCCACGCAAACTGGAAAACTGATGGCGGGCAGGTTCCAGTGGAAGCAGTTCCCAGGAAGAGGGCTGACTTCCCCCTATTCCAGTTCAAGCAGAGGGATGCCAGGCCTGGCCCTCCCAGCGCTGCCACAGTATGGGACCCGCGGGCAGGCCCAGTGAGGCTCACCTGCCAGAGAGAGGCCCAGCATGTCGGCTGCCACATCGACGGTAGAAGCCCGCTGCATCGCACGGGCCCTGGTGCCATGGCGAGGGCTGTGCTCTCTTGCTGTCATGATGTCATCGGTGACGATGTGCTTCCTGTTCCTGGGTCAGACCACGCCTGATTCCCCGGGAAGAGCTGTCATCAAGCCCTAGTCCCCTAAGGTGGCAGTAGTCCTAAGAAATAAAAACAAACACTGTTTTTTTTAAAAAAACAAACAACAACAAAAAACAGGGACGGTGACGAAGAGACACTGTGCTCTCATGGAGAGAGCACGTTGACCTACACGGACAAGATGCAGCAAAGCCAGGGTCCTCTGGCAGGTGGGGAGCCAGGACGGAGAGTCCAATGAGCTAGGCCCCGTCTAGTCACCTCCTCTATACTCACTCACACACCAGCACGGTCCGTCCGTGGGATCCCGTAAAGAAATCATGTTCTCTTCAACAGAGACATGCCACATTAAATGATGGCTTAGATCTAATCATAAACTATGGCCTTTGATATTTTCTTGTTTGCTTTATTATGTCTTTCCACTGGCAAGCCTCAGAGACTCTTCACAATCATAAATCAGCTCACTACCACCTCTGTTAGAAAGATAAGAGACGCAAGAAGAGGTCTGGTACCCACTGGCCAGGACAGCACAGCAGAACAGTGGAGACCAGAGGCATGTCTCCAACCTTGCTCTCTCCCTCCCAGGGGTACAGGAATTTCACGTGTGTCGGACTCAGGCTTTCTTTCCCACAAAACGCGACAATCTACGCCTCAGTGGATAGTGCTGTGCTGTGGATACGGAGGTCTCTGGGCAAAGGGCCACTGCAGGCTGAGCCACACAGATGCTCCGGCCCAGCACAGAACTCACTTTCTGCTCTGAGCAGTGGGTTATCCAGCAAGGAGTGAGTTTCACATATTCTTCTAACCCTATATGCTACAATCCCTGCTGTCTCCGGAAGGAACCAACCTTTAGGAGTTAAGATAATTAGACTAATAACCCCTCTCAAAGGTCCCCATATATCCAGACGCCCCTGTCTTCTCAAAGTGCATCAATGCCTTTGCACCTGAAGGGCCTGTGTTCCCACTCTTGGGTTAATTCACCCAGCAACTAACTTACTGGGCATGTTCGTTCTTGGACCAGTAGAGACACGTGGCATTTCTTCATAGAAGCACATGCAAATCCATCATCTAAAAATAGAAAATTATAAACTTAACAAGCTAGTCAAACATGGAGTTCTCGAGAATGCTTATTATAATGTACTGATACATGTTATAATTTTAATGCCTAGAAATGTGGGGAAGCCAAGAGCTACTACATGTTCCTTTGAGCTTCACACCCCAATCTAACCTTTTGGCTCAAAAACAAAGGTTTTGCACAAAGCCCCGAAGGATGAGAAGCGGAAAGTGCCCATTCCTCTCCCCCGTCCCTGGGGTGATCCAGGGGAAGTGGGGACAGGCCTAAAGGGCCTGCTGGGCAGCTGGGATGTGATTCAGGGGAAGGAGGAGATAAAGAGCCCGAGGTCCAGGCCTCCTGCTCAGAAAGGTCAGGCCCTGGGAGAACCTGGGTGCCTCTGAGGCTCTGCTTTTTGGTGTCTGAGATGAAGGTGGTTGTACCCACCTCACGGGGCTGCAGTGGGAAGCAAATGTGCAAGAACGGGAGCGGGCTCTGCAAACCCACCTAGCTCCCAGCCCACCGCTGCTGCCTGGCCCCTGCGCGCCTTCCCGCGGACCCCAACACCCAGGCTCCGACTCGGTCCAGCACTGCTGGGGGCGGTAGGGCAGACCGCAGGGCCCAGAGCGAGAGCATCTGAAACTTCCGGAGTCCGTGGTGGAGACGGCAGGAGGATCAGTGCGCACAGCCCTCAGACAAACCCGACACCCCCTGCAGGCTGTGTTCCTCCCCCTCCCACTGGGGCACCCGGGGGCCTTGGGCACCTCAGCAGAGAGGGCAGTAGCCTGGCTGGGGAGGCCCCGAAGAAGTCACCATGGGGAAGACTCACCAGTCTGCTGACATCAAAAGGCCTACAAGTCAAAACTATGCAACGGCAGTGGAACAGACTGGGAAAGTACTTGCAGTACTAACATCTGTATTTTACAATAATGTTTACACAACTTGACAAAAAAAACAACTCACTAAAAATGCAAGTGGCAAAAGGTATGAATTCATAAAAGAGGGATACAGGTAGGAAATACTTTGGAAAAGTGACCAAACTCAATCATAATGAGGAAAGCAATGCTAAATACACCTTTCCTTACCTAAAGGAGGGTCTAAAAGAGGTTTGTTTGTTCTTCTAATGAGAATGTGCTTTGCTGGCAGAACTAGGGGAAACTCTGTAGGGCTCTCCTATACTGTTGATAACATTTTAGAGAGGTTCGAGCATTTCAGAAACCAATTTGACATTATTTATCAAAATCTGTAAACAATAACAAAATTCTGGCCAGTGGTCCAGAGATGCTAATTGTAGCACTGCTTGTCATGACAAACACTGCAACCAATCTAAATGCCCAGCTACAGATAAGTGCATTCTGGAACATCTATAAGAAACACTACCATATGGATGTTAAAATGATCATAATAAAGGCAACACACATAAGAAGTCCTTCAACCTCATTAGTCATCAGGACAATGCTAATTGTAACCATGAGATACCTCTGCGTACCCACTAGAATAGCTAAAATGAAACAGACAGACAGTACCACGTGCTAGCAAAGATGTGGACAGAATAAATGGGGCCCTGATACACTGCTAGTGGAGTGTAAGATGCTGGAAAACTGGCAGTACCTACCCACACTGAACGTGACCTGGTGTGTAACTCAGAGTGCAATTGCTAACGGAAACGCACACTTAGGGTCACCAAAAAAAAAAAAGCTGCAAAGAACATTTAAAGCTGGGAACTCCCTGGTGGAATTCCAGTGGTTAGGACTTGGTACTTTCACTGCCAGGGCCCGGGTTCAATCTCTGGCTGGGGAACTAAGATCCTGCAAGCCGCACAGTGCGACCAAATAAAAAAATAACTCTAAAAAACAAAAAAAACCCAACACTTAAAGCAGTAACGTTTATAATATTCAAAAACTAGAAACAATCCAAGTGTCCATCAACAGTAGAATGGACAAAACAACACAGATGACTCTTAGGGACAATGTCAAGGGGGAAACCCAGACCCACGAGAGCACGTTCTAGGCGATTCCACCTCTATGAGGTTCGGGCACTGGCCAAACGAGTCTGTGGTGTCAGAAGTCAGGACAGTGGTGTCTCTGAGGGGCAGGACTGACAGGGGAGGGTGGGAGGAGGCTTGCGGGCTCTGCTGTGTGCTGTCTCCTCGTGCGGGCGCTGCTTCCGTGAGTCACTTCACCGTGGGGAAAGGCACTGAGCTGTATATGAGATGATCTTTATACCCAATAAAAAGGCTGATTCCTTTAACGACTATAATAAAGACAACACAACATGAAAAAGTGTTTATGTCAGTTCTGCATCTTGTGTGTCTTTCATGAAATGTTCTACCTGTTCTCTGGTTAAAGCCAGAGAACACGTTAAAAAGACGGGACAGAGCCAGCAGGAGACCACACCAAGACGATGGCCACGTTTGGGGGCGCGACCAGGGGGAAACGTTGTCTTTCTCAGCTTACTGCCATCCTCCTGCGTCACTGAAAGCTGCCGCCACGCCAGAGGTAGAGGTGGCACCCGGAGCATGACCTTTCCCTGCGTGTCCCCGGCATCCCCTCGCCCCTCCTGGCTGCCCTGCTCAGCTTGTTAGTGAGCTGCTGTCGCCCCCCTTCACTCGGGACAGTGGAGACATGCCACCTAACGGAGGACAACATCTGTACCCCGACATCCCGCCAGCCCAAGGGAGGCTCCGCGCCCGCCTGCCCTTGCAGGGTCCCCACCAGCCCATCCCTTCCCCTGGAGACTCTGGGGACAGAAATGCTTGAAGGGGAACATCTACAGGCTAATTTTACACGTAACAGAATTCACAGATCAGAGGAGCTTTTAGTTCACGAGGACCTTAGAAGCCCCTCATGGTTATTTGGGGGCATCTAATTAGGATCTGCGATTCAAGTCATCAGGACCTAGGACACGAAGCTGACTTGCACGGCTGAACTAGACTTCCCTTCATTAGTCTCATTAATTGAAGGTAATTCGCCGAGGATTCAGATATTCCCAAGCTCCCTGGTTTTCCTCCTAGCCCCATTTGAAGACCAGAGCTCATTAGCCAGAAAAATGACTTAAAGAGGACAGAGAGGGTGTGGGAGTTGTTTAGGAGACTGGAATTTTTTTCTTCGGGGCAGGAGAGAAGCAGTAACTCATGAAACTAACTGCCTCGGCTCCTGACTCTGTGGGAGACGTGGGACCCCTTCCATCAAATCATCAGCAAAGCCGATGACGTCCTGCTGCCCAGTGGGGGCAGGGAGATGTGGCCGAGGGAGCATCACCAAGGCCACGGAGAGGTCGCTATGACCCACACGGCTTCGTGGGGTTCCTGAGGGGCACCAGTGACTGTCGGAAGCTTCTAGAGGAACCGGTCTCGGGAAGGCCTGCCCTCCTCCTCCACAGAACAAGGTGTCGCAGGCCTGACAGGGGTCTGGAGGCCCTTCTGGCTCAGTAACCTCTGCTGAGCAGGAGTTGAGGGGGGAGGCCAGCTCCCCTGGTATCTGTCAGAACACTGGGGTCTTCTCAAAATCATCTTAAAAAGGAGTTGCATGGATGAGCATGGAAATCCAGGCAGGGTGACTTCCTCAAGGTCAAGTGGAGGTAAAGGATGAGCTACTGGCATCAACCCAAAGCCAGAAGCCCCCGTACCACTGGCTCTCTCCCTGCCATCCCAGCCCTACCCACCCTACCGCTGTCACTGCTGTGGGCAGCAAACGGGCCAAGGGCAACCCTTCCCAGTGCTCTGCTCTCCAAGAGGGAAGGTCAGACGAAAGCTGAGTCAGAGCAGCCCTTGAGGAGGCGGCTACTTCACGAGTCAGAAAGAGGAAGCGCTTTCTCTCAAAGCCCCCAATCCAGGACAGCCACGGTCACTGATGGATGAGGTGTCACACTGATCACTGGCACCGAAAATCACTGGTTATAACCCGAGAGAGACAGCTGCCCCTTCCTGCAGGAAGCCTCCCCTCCAGCCAACAGCCCTTCTGCAATGGAGCAGGACCCGGTGGGGCCCTGCTGGGTACAAGTCCTTTCCGTGTCCCCTGTTTCTTGTTTGTAGGAAATGGGCTTCATTCAGCCTTCTTGACCTTCCCGGAGCTCCAAAGGGCAGATTCAAACAGCTGCTAATCAGGGAAGGGAGGGACTAGAGACAAGGGAGAAGCAGTCAGGACACAACAGTGCAGCCTTGGGGCAAGGTCCTTGTTCCCCCTCAAGGTATATATATAAAACAAAATATCTCTGAGTTCTTCTGCAGGAACTAAGACCCCACCCAGGTGGAGGATGGTAACTTCTGGCTGAGCACCAGATTCCTAGAGCACTGCCCTGTCACCTCACCACCAGCCAATCAGAAGAAAGTCTGCACAAGGTGGAAGATGAAGAAGACTCTGAGCCCCTCCCCAAATGATTCTTCTTTAAAAGCTTTCATGGTCGAGCAGAATCTCTGGAGTTGGTTTCTGGACACAAGTCCCCCATCTCCCCAGGTTGCCAGCCTCCTGAACAAAGCAGCCCTTCCGTTCCTGCCAGCACTTGGCTCTCGAGTATTGGCTTACGGACATCATGCAGCCAAACCAGAGTTTGCTAACCTTTCCTCACAGAGGCTTGCTAACCCACCAGGCGGTCTGCACCTCAGGACGATGCACTTCCTGTGTGGAAGTGCCAGCCAGCACCTGTGTCTCGACCTGAAGTCCTTGCTTCCTCCATACCCTCCTGGGCGCCTAGCTCAAGCCTAAACATAGATGAGGGGGCGAACAAGCACCTACCGAGTAACAAACCATCAAGGTCCACGGCAGACCACACCTGCCACCAGGCTCACTGACGGACTGGTCCCTCCAGCGGCATGTGACCACTGCAGAAGGATGTACAACCGCTTAGATGCGGACAGTGAAGTGGTCATGGGATCCCCTCTTCCCTGGACTCCCTGCTATGTGCAGGGGCCTGCTGGGCAATTCCACGGCCCCAGGGTAAGGTGGGGTCACTTAGTGGAAGGAAACTAAGTCCCCAGACTGTGGGGCAGGCAGAGCCCCCACCCCACCACTTCCCCACA